CCTTGCACAAAGGCGGAGGTAGCGGTCCTGCTGCTGGGTTGTTGCCCTCCTACGGCCTCCTCCACGTCTCCTGATGTACTGGCCTGTCTCCTGGTAGCGCCTCCATGCTCTGGACACTACGCTGACAGACACAGCTCGCATTGATGTGCCATCCTGGATGAGCTGCACTACCTGAGCCACTTGTGTGGGTTGTAGACTCCGTCTCATGCTACCACTAGAGTGAAAGCACTGCCAGCATTCAAAAGTGACCAAAACATCAGCCAGGAAGCATAGGAACTGAGAAGTGGTCTGTGGTCACCACCTGCAAAACCAGTCCTTTATTGGGGGTGTCTTGCTAATTGCCTATAATTTCCACCTGTTGTCTATTCCATTTGCACAACAGCATGTGAAATGCATTGTCAATCAGTGTTGCTTCCTAAGTGGACAGTTTGATTTCATAGAAGTGTGATTGACTTGGAGTTACATTGTGTTGTTTATTTTTTTGAGCAGTGTACATCACCATTAAGAGAATGACATTCATAATTATGCATTTCTGTATAAATGCGGTAAAGAGGTAAATCGAACTCGACCAAAATATGTTATGCAGCGAAGACAGCCCAATATATCAAAATCGGACTTAAGTAACCACATTGTGGGCCTGTTACAATACATCAATCATGACGGATTTGAAGAATATCCACGTTGTTAGATCAGATTTGTTGAATGTGCGCCAATCTGGTCAATGGAAAGCATGCATTCCATTGACTCCTTTCCCACATCTATAGCGCAGAAGATCAAGGACCTATGATGTCATTCTGTTACCGTCATTCTGATAATGGATGTTGATCCACTTCATTTACTGTAGTTCAATAACCAAAAGAGCCTAGATATTTAAGAGTTTTTAGAAAATGTGGTCACATAAAAAACTGAGGGAGATTTTACTGTCCTTCTGTTACAAAACGTTGCATCTGCACTGCTCCTCAAGTAAATGTGTTTTAGTAAAATGTTCGGTGGCAAGTGTTAAAAGTAGACTTCTGCATATAGGTGGATGGTTTATTAAACTTTGCAATCAATGGCTTGGCATGTGTTGTGAGTCTCTGTTACCATGGAATTGCCCAGAATCAAATGACAAAGGATACCTTAAGATACCTCTATGTTTGGAGTTCTTACCTAAACAATCCCTTTTTAAGTTAAAACACAGGCTTGTTTACAACAGTCCACATCTGCCTGGTTACACAAGGAGAAGACTTCATCACAAATAGTCGTAAGAAAAGGGGGCTCTCTGACTACAGGACTTTTTCCTTGATGACCAAGAGAGCTAGTGGTGGGATTTGCAGAGACATGCAAGTCCAGGTCTAGTCTAGTGGTGCAAGGTAGCCTAGTGGTTAAGAGCGTTGGGCCAGTAACCGAAAGGTCACTGGTTTTAATCTTCGAACCGACTAGGTGAAAAATATGTCTATGTGCCCTTGAGCAAGGCACAAGAAATATATACACTACCGGTCAAAAGTTTTAGAACACCTACTCATTCAAGGGGTTTTCTTTATTTTTACATTGTAGAATAATAGTGAAGACATCAAAACTATGAAATAACACATATGGAATCATGTAGTAAACAAAAAAGTGTTGATGTCTTCACTATTATTCTACTATGTAGAAAATAGTAAAAATAAGAAAAACCCTTGAATGAGTAGGTGTTCTAAAACTTTTGACCGGTAGTGTATATTTATGTTTTGTGACATAGGTGCAGTGAAATGTGTTGTTTTACAGGGTCAGCCATAGTAGTACGGCGGTCCTGGAGCCAATTAGGGTTAAGTGCCTTGCTCAAGGGCACCGACAGATTTTTCACCTTTTCTGCTCCGGTATTCAAACCAGCGACCTTACGGTTACTGGCCCAATGCTCCTTTAAGTCGTTCTGGATAAGAGCGTCTGCTAAATGACTAAAATGTAAAGTGTAAATGTAGGCCTGTACAATACTGCAAGTCCATCATCTTCCTCCCTTGGTTTGCAGCCAACATGCTGAGCTATTTTAAGCAGCCTTCCTTCCTTTCTTGAGGAAATGCTCAATCCTATGAAAACTTCTTATCGGTTCTTTCCAGGGGAGAAAGCACTTTACAGTTCAAGGGACAACATATTCATGAATGGCATGATTCTGCATTAATGCAGGAGTAGTGAACTTCTCTGTGAGCCTACCCCAGTAAACTAAAAAGACAGTCACAATGACAGGTCAAAAGCACTACGTGAAGAGATGGTCTAAAGGCTAGCCCCCAACCACAGCAAAACAAGGCTGGTTTAGAGAACCACCCCGTTACAGATAGCCACTATCTTGTCACGTCCACCATACTCCATTCTGACCCCTGAAACGTCATCAGACCTCTACATGACGTTCCCACACCCCCTGTGTGACGCAATCGTTTGTTACTTTATAGGGGCCATCTCCTTCTACAGATGAGATAGATTTGGAGGGCAGATGTTGACATGTAAACACGAGCCCATGAGAAAAACACAACAGCGCGCACACACACACAGATATGATGAAGCCCGCCAATATGCGTCCAAATATTGGAATGAGTAAAGTCAAGCTTTAAAACAGATGGCCTACAGGTGATTCCTCTTCAGATAATAATCTCAGTCTGACAGCATTACCCGACCGTATGACTACACTACTGTAGCTCAGAACTGAATCACAAAACCAAATAGCCTAACAGCCTATTATGGCTAAGAAGGGAGGTCCAAGATTGTTTGGCCCGGCTGCAATGGTTGCAATTTTGTTGGTTAGCCTAATGGCCAAGAAACTAGTGTTCCTCCAGACCAGATAGATTGACCCTTGTATTGGGTTCTCCAAAACTAGACAGAGCCTCCAAATCCCTCATGGGGGGGGGCGTAATTAGTCTATGTCAAATTGTAAATAAAGCCAGACAGCGCCTTTGGCTATCACACATGACAGCATGACAAGCAAAGTGAAATACCATACCAGATAATCCATGAAATACTTTAGTAGCTTGACGTGCTCTCCAAAAATATAAGTTGGTTGGTGGTAGGCGTATTCCAGGTAAACCACTATTTTCTCCTAAACTAGCTAGGCTAAATGTAAACTCGGAATTCTATGCACGGTCTTCTTTTCAAATGGTTTTGTTTTGGTCCCTAACAAGAATCCGAGTTTGGGCTGTAGGATACACACAATGTTGCAGGAAATATGTAACGCGTTTTCATGCGAAGCGTAATGAAAGATATTCGAGCGAAACTGCGATTATCGGCTAGTCTTATTTTGGTTAGATCCGGTCATAGGATTCCTCTCTGATTACATTATATATTACGGATGTTTGAAACTCTATACATCAAAGTAATAATTATTTGATGCTATGCTATAGAGTAACTTTTGAGTGGTTCAAATCAAAACCTCAACCACCGTGTCGAAACTTGTTAATAACCCGGACGCGTACACAAGTTATAGATCTTGGATTTTATGACATCTCCCCCCTCTTGTCACTGGACGTCACGTGACTTTTGTACAGCAGACGCTTCATTTACATTTAGATCCTTTAGCAGACGCTCTTATCCAGAGCGATTTACAGTTAGCGAGTGCATACATTTTTCATACTGGCCCCCCGTGGGAAACGAACCCACAACCCTGGCGTTGCAAGCGCCTTGCTCTACCAACTGAGCTACAGGACAGCCATTTACTCTACTGATGTTACGTTTCTGCAAGGCTATCCCATTCGCTACACTATTAAATCTAGCCAGATTGTTCTTTGGAAAAGATGACAATTAAATGTAGCCTCAAAGTGAGAAATGTCACCCCTTCTCTAATAATGTGCGTGTAGTGACCTCTAGTGGTTCATACGCGACGATACACTAGAGCACTGTGAGCAAATAAAGTATTTTATGATTAGGGATACATGTAGCCTAATAAAAAAAATACAATTTAACAATGAATACGAGGATGACCTTTTTCAAACATCAAATATGGGTCAACGGAACAGAGAACAGATAAACAATGAATGTTCAACTTCACAGACCTTATATGTTACATGATCACAGTCATGGTGTAATTTGAGTTTTTCAATATTCTTGGTTTACAGGCATTACTGGAACCATGTCGTCCAAAAAGTTATACTTTTGAATCATCTGTCCATAGAACGTTCTTCCAAGAGTCTTGATGATCATCCAGGTGCTTTTTGGCAAACTTGAGTCAACCTTTTGGACGAGATGGGTCCCATTATGCCTGGTGAAAACCAAACACTGCATTCCACAGTAAGAACATCATACCAAAGGTCAAGCATGGTGGTGGTGGTGTGATGGTTTGGGTATTCTTTGCTGCCACAGGACCTGGACGACTTGCCTTAATAGAAGGAACCATGAATTCTGCTCTGTATCAGATAATTCTACAGGAGAATGTCAGACCATCCGTCTGTGAGCTGAAGCTGAAGTGCAGCTGGGTCATGCAGCAAGACAATGATCCAAAACACACAATCAAGTCTACATGAAAATTGCTAAAAAAGCAACAAATTGGACGTTTTGGAATGGCCTAGTCAAAGTCCAGACCTAATCCCAATTGATATGTTGTGGCATGACTTGAAACAAGCAGTTCATGCTTGAAAACCCACACATCACTGAGTTAAAGCAGTTCTGCATGGAAGAGTGGGCCAAAATTCCTCCACAGCGACGTGAGAGACGGATCAACAACTACAGGAAGCATTTGGTTGGAGTCGTTGCAGCTAAAGGTGGCACAACCAGTTATTGAGTGTAAGGGGGCAATTACTTTTTCACACAGGGGAATTGGGTGTTGCATACCTTTGTTTATGAAATAAATGAAATAAATATGTAATTGTTGTGTTATTTGTTCACTTATGTTCCCTTGATCTAATATTAGGTTTTGGTTGAAGATCTGATAACATTCAGTATCACAAATATGCAAAAGTAGAGAAAATTAGAAAGGGGGAAATACTTTTTCATTGCACTGTATCTCAGTGGTTAAATGTAGCCTAGAACTAGCTCCACCCTCGATTATTCAGGCTTATTACGTCTGAGGACTAGTCCTGTTACGAGCCTTTAGCATCTGGAATAGGACTTTCTCCGTTGTACCTTTTCACGAAGAAAAAGAAGACATTGTTCATTGCCTTTCACGCGTGTGATTAGGCTACAGAGAATACAAGCGTATGTTTTACAACTTGAAACTTATTTTCGGATGATATTCTACAGCCCCATTGCAAAGGACTAAAACTAAAAAATAGTTTGGTGCTGAATACAAAGTGATACGGTGGTCCAATGGCTCGGTCGCATGACTAATTAATAGGCTATCAGAACTCGGTCGCTCGCTCCCGTGTTTTTTGTGTTATAAACTATGGCGTTTAGGGCGAGAGCCTTGTACGACTTTAGTTCGGAAAATCCAGGAGAGATATCGATTACTGAGAACGAAGTTGTTACTTTATATAGCGAACAAGACATAGAGGGATGGCTAGAGGGAACGAACAGCAGAGGGGATACTGGTCTTTTTCCAGCCTCATACGTGGAGATTCTCACAAATGAATCATCTGACATCTCGCCCAACAACAATGGCATGTCGGCAGATCAAGGTCAACCCGACTCCCCATCAAGTGGATATGATTCATCATACCATTCCCAGTCGCATTCTCGTGTGGAGAACATTAAAGGTCCGACCCACTCCGCTTATCCTGTGCAAACTCCCCAGCGCCACGGTTACCAGACCAGTCAAGGTAGTGATGATGACTGGGATGATGACTGGGATGACAGCTCTACCGTGGCAGATGAGCCTGGAACTAATCATGACAATGATGTAACTAGTTCCACAGCATACACGGTGACTACCTCGTTGCCTGGGAGACGTGACAGTGCCCAAGCCAAGAGTTCAGCAACAATAGGTAAAAACCTCAACAGGTTCTCAACCTTTGTGAAATCAGGCGGAGAGGCTTTTGTGTTGGGCGAGGCGGCTGCCTTTGTCAAAGATGGGGACAAGATCTGTGTTGTCATGGGCCAATATGGGCCAGAGTGGCAGGAAGATCCATACCCGTTCACCTGCTCCATTGATGACCCCACCAAACAGACAAAATTCAAAGGCATGAAGAGTTACATGTCATACAGACTGACTCCATCCCACACCCAGAGCCAGGTGAATAGAAGATACAAGCACTTTGACTGGCTCTACGCTCGACTTGTGGAACGCTTCCCTGTCATCTCAGTCCCCCATCTGCCCGAGAAACAGGCCACTGGGCGCTTCGAACAGGACTTTGTCTCCAAACGCAGAAAAGGTTTGATATGGTGGATGAACCACATGACGAGCCACCCTGTCCTGGCCAGGTGTGACGTCTTCCAGCACTTCCTCACCTGCCCCAGCACAGACGAGAAGACGTGGAAGATGGGCAAGAGAAAGGCAGAGAAGGATGAGTTGACTGGAGCGAACTTCTTCCTCACCATCTCCACCCCAGCCGTTCCACTGGACCTACAGGAGGTAGAGAGCAAGGTAGATGGGTTCAAAGCCTTCACCAAGAAGATGGATGAGAACTGCCTAGTGGTGAACGCCACCATCAACGAGTTCGCCCGGAAGCAGATCACCGGATTTAAGAAAGAGTATCAGAAAGTGGGCCAGTCCTTCAAACTGCTGGGCCAAGCCTTTGAGATGGACCAGCAGTCCTATTCTGTAGGACTGAACCGTGCCATAGCATTCACAGGAGAGGCCTATGAGGCTATAGGAGACTACTTTGCTGAGCAGCCCAGACAGGATTTGGACCCCATATCGGATCTGCTGGACCTGTACAAGGGACACCTGGCCAACTACCCTGATATCATCCATGTTCAGAAAGGTACGGTATGATGTCACAGCTGTCTCTGCCATAGAAATAGAGTTCATAGAACGGTGAAAGACCCTCTAAACGTGGCAATTTGGCCACACTCTCATAGGCATTCTATTTCTATGGTCGCTATCCTGATAGGGGTCATGTTATGTTGATGATGAACAAAAACAAATGTTGCCTTGGCTTTCCATGAAATCCCTTGCAGCAAAATGTTTTGTGGTTTGAACGTTACTTCAGATCATGTAACATGACACATGTTTTGTGGTTTGAACGTTACTTCAGATCATGTAACATGAAACACATGTTTTGTGGTTTGAACGTTACTCCAGATCATGTAACATGACACACACACACATGTTTTGTGGTTTGAACGTTACTTCAGATCATGTAACATGACACACATGTTTTGTGGTTTGAGCGTTACTCCAGATCATGTAACATGACACACACACACATGTTTTGTGGTTTGAACGTTACTTCAGATCATGTAACATGACACACACATGTTTTGTGGTTTGAACGTTACTTCAGATCATGTAACATGACCCACACATGTTTTGTGGTTTGAACGTTACTCCAGATCATGTAACATGACACACACACACATGTTTTGTGGTTTGAACATTACTTCAGATCATGTAACATGACACACACATGTTTTGTGGTTTGAACGTTACTTCAGATCATGTAACATGACACACACATGTTTTGTGGTTTGAACGTTACTTCAGATCATGTAACATGACACACATGTTTTGTGGTTTGAGCGTTACTCCAGATCATGTAACATGACACACACACACACATGTTTTGTGGTTTGAACGTTACTTCAGATCATGTAACATGACACACACATGTTTTGTGGTTTGAACGTTACTTCAGATCATGTAACATGACCCACACACGTTTTGTGGTTTGAACGTTACTTCAGATCATGTAAAATGACACACATTTTGTATTATGTTCAACTTCTCTGCTTGCTGGCAAAAGTTTGCTTTCACAGTTTTTTTCTGTTGAGTAATGCTGTAGAATAAGGCGGTGAGGCATGACATTTCATTTTCTGTCCTGACAGGGAGAGTTGAGAGTTTTGTCTCACACCCACTGAAGATAGTGAGATCAGAGGTTAGGACTCTGCTGAAGGAGCATACAATCACAGCTCAGGGCTCTTAGAGCCTGCAGATAGGCCTTCAAGGAAACTTGGTTACCAACATATCTATTTTGTTCTCGTTTTACTAAGGGATGCAATGTTCTCTTATTTGTCACTTTGTAATAGATTTATTAGACAGTAGGTACATAAATATGGGGTGCCGTTTTGTAACATGCTATGTAGTCCAAGTTCAATTGAGACATTGAAGGTTATGTTAGCCTACATCAGCATTGAATTAGAAGGAGGAGATTCCGGGGCCTCTTGTCCGGCATTTCCCTGGGAATGCTGGAATGCGGAATAGCCTCAGGATTATTTTCCTCTCCAAGGGTGGGGATCTGGGGAGCTGCTGCACAATATTGCCTGGACACATTTATTCCCACTGGCACCGGACACTGGCCTGGACACATTTATTCCCACTGGCACCGGACACTGGCCTGGACACATTTATTCCCACTGGCACCGGACACTGGCCTGGACACATTTATTCCCACTGGCACCGGTGCATCCTGGACACATTTATTCCCACTGGCACCACCGGACACTGGCCTGGACACATTTATTCCCACTGGCACCGGACACTGGCCTCGACACATTTATTCCCACTGGCACTGGCACCGGTGCATCCTGGACACATTTATTCCCACTGGCACCGGTGCAGAAGTTCAGTTTATTGGTGCTCTGGCTCTGTAATCGCATGCGAGTGCCCGAAAAGAACAAAGTCCAAGTTAATTTAATATAGTTAGTATATTTATTCATCCAAGTGTGTGTGTTTGTGTGTGTGTGTGTGTGTGTGTTGTATTTATATTCCCCAGATAAGGCCTGGATTCTAATGGCTTTAGAGAAGGTTATTCACTAAAGCAGTGGCAATGTCTTTAGTCAGATCTTCCACTTACACATTCAGAGCTCAAGTACACTGTATATACAACAGTGTGTGAACACCCCTTCAAATGAGTGGATTCTGCTATTTCCGCCACACCCGTTGCTTACAGGTGTATAAAATTGAGCACACAGCCATGCAATTTCCATAGACAAACATTGGCAGTAGAATGGCCTTACTGAAGAGCTCAGTGACTTTCAACGTGGCACCATCATAGGTGGCACCTTTCCAACAAGTCAGTTCATAAAATGTCTGCCCTGCTAGCGCTGCCCCGGTCAACTGTAAGTGCTGTTATTGTGAAGTGGAAACGTCTAGGAGCAACAACGGCTCAGCAGCGAAGTGGTAGGCCACCCAAGCTCACAGATAGGGACCGCTGAGTGCTGAAGTGCGTAGCACGTAAAAATCGTCTGTCCTCGGTTGCAAAACTCACTACCGAGTTCCAAACTGCCTCTGGAAGCAACGTCAGCACAATAACTGTTCATCGGGAGCTTCATGAAATGGGTTTCCATGGCCGATCGACATGTGCAATGCCAAGCGATGGCTGGAGTGGTGTAAAGCTCGCCGCCATTGGACTCTGGAGCAGTGGAAATGCATTCTCTGGAGTGATGAATCATGCTTCACCATCTGGCAGTCCGACAGACGAATCTGGGTTTGGCGGATGCCAGGAGAACGCTACCTGCCCCAATGCATAGTGCCAACTGTAAAGTTTGGTGGAGGAGGAATAATGGTCTGGGGCTGTTTTTCATGGTTCGGGCTAGGCCCCTTACAGTGCCTTGCAAAAGTATTCATCCCCCTTGGCGTTTTTCCTATTTTGTTTCATTACAACCTATAATTTAAATGGAGTTTTATTTGGATTTCATGTAATGGACATACACAAAATAGTCCAAATTGGTGAAGGGAAATGAAAAAAATTACTTGTTTCAAAAAATTATAAAAAATAAATAACGGAAAAGTGCTGCGTGCATATGTATTCACCCCCTTTGCTATGAAGCCCCTAAATAATATCTGGTGCAACCAATTACCTCCAGAAGTCACATAATTAGTTAAATAAAGTCCACCTGTGTGCAATCTAAGTGTCACATGATCTGTCACATGATCTCAGTATATATACACCTGTTCTGAAAGGCCCCAGAGTCTGCAATACCACTAAGAAAGGGGCACCACCAAGCAAGCGGCACCATGAAGACCAAGGAGCTCTCCAAACAAGTCAGGGACAAAGTTGTGGAGAAGTACAGATCAGGGTTGGGTTATAAAAAAATATCAGAAACTTTGAACATCCCACGGAGCACCATTAAATCCATTATTAAAAAATTTAAAAGAATATGGCACCACAACAAACCTGCCAAGAGAGGGCCGCCCACCAAAACTGACGGACCAGGCAAGGAGGGCATTAATTAGAGAGGCAACAAAGAGACCAAAGATAACCCTGAAGGAGCTGCAAAGCTCCACAGTAGAGATTGGAATATCTGTCCATCGGACCACTTTAAGCCGTACATTCCACAGAGCTGGGCTTTACGGAAGAGTGGCCAGAAAAAAGCAATTGCTTAAAGAAAAAAAGAAGCAAACACGTTTGTTGTTCGCCAAAAGGCATGTGGGAGACTCCCCAAACATATGGAAGAAGGTACTCTGGTCAGATGAGACTAAAATTGAGCATTTTGGCCATCAAGGAAAACGCTATGTCTGGCGCAAACCCAACACCTCTCATCACCCCAAGAATACCATCCCCACAGTGAAGCATGGTGGTGGCAGCATCATGCTGTGGGGATGTTTTTCATCGGCATGGACTGTGAAACTGGTCAGAATTGAAGGAATGGATGGGGCTAAATACGGGAAAATTCTTGAGGGAAACCTGTTTCAGTCTTCCAGAGATTTGAGACTGGGACGGAGGTTCACCTTCCAGCAGGACAATGACCCTAAGCATACTGCTAAAACAACACTTGAGTGGTTGAAGGGGAAACATTTAAATGTCTTGGAAGGGCCTACTCAAAGCCCAGACCTCAATCCAATTGAGAATCTGTGGTATGACTTAAAGATTGCTGTACACCAGCGGAACCCATCCAACTTGAAGGAGCTGGAGCAGTTTTGCCTTGAAGAATGGGCAAAAATCACAGTGGCTAGATGTGCCAAGCTTATAGAGACATACCCCAAGAGACTTGCAGCTGTAATTGCTGCAAACGGTGGCTCTACAAAGTATTGACTTTGGGGGGGTAAATAGTTGTGCACGCTCAAGTCTTCTGTGTTTTTGTCTTATTTCTTGTTTGTTTCACAATAAAAATTATTTTGCATCTTCAAAGTGGTAGGCATGTTGTGTAAATCAAATGATACTAACCCCCCAAAAATCAAATTTAATTCCAGGTTGTAAGGCAACAAAATAGGAATAATGCCAAGAGGGGTGAATTCTTTGGCAAGGCACTGTAGTTCTAGGGAAAGGGAAATCTTAACGCTACAGCATACAATGAAATTCTAGACGATTCTGTGCTTCCAACTTTGTGGCAACAGTTTGGGGAAGGCCCTTTCCTGTTTCAGCATGACAATGCCCCCGTACATAAAGCGAGGTCCAGAACAGAAATAGTTTGTCGAGATCGGTGTGGAATAACTTCACTGGCCTGCACAGAGCCCTGACCTCAACCCCTTCGAAAACCTTTGGGATGAATTGGAACGGCGACTGCGAGCCAGGCCTAATCGCCCATCATCAGCCTTGTGGCTGAATGGAAGCAAGTCCCCGCAGCAATGTTCCAACATCTAGTGGAAAGCCTTCCCAGAAGAGTGGAGGCTGTTATAGCAGCAAAGAGGGGACCAACTCCATATTAAACCAATGGTCAACTCTTCTTTCTGAGTCATGTTAAAACTTTTCAAAGACACAGATTCATGACTAAATATAGCCTTTTTCCTTTTCACCATTAATAGGAATACCTTTGATACCCTTCTCTCAAACCCTTTCCCTGCCCCCTTCCCCACTAATCTTTTTCCCGTTCCTTCTCCCTCTCCCTCTTTCTCTCCTCCACCTATCTCCCCAGGTGCCCTTACCAAAGTAAAGGAGTGCCAGAAACAGGAAGGGGAGGGATCAACCATCAACGAGCGTTGTAACATAATTTCCTGCGCCACACTGGCTGAGATCCAGCACTTTCACCGTACACGCGTACGTGACTTCAAGAGCCAGATGCAACACCACCTCCAGCAGCAGATCATCTTCTTCCAGAAAATCACTGGGAAGCTAGAGGAGGCACTGCAGAAGTACGACGAGGATATCATATAAGGCCCTAGAGAGAGGAGCATAGATACAGAGGGATTAAGGGATGGGGGGGGGCTGAATAGAGGGTGGATACAGATGGGAGAGAGGAGGGACTGAGGAGGGGGGGTGGGGGAGAGAGGAGGGACTTAGAGGAGAGAAATGAGTATATAGGTGATTTGATAGCAGATGGATGGAGAGAGGAGGGGAGAGAGAGAGAGAGGAGGGTGGATACAGATGGATGGAGAGAGGAGGGGACTGAGAGAGAGAGGAGGGTGGATACAGATGGATGGAGAGAGGAGGGGACTGAGAGAGAGAGGAGGGTGGATACAGATGGATGGAGAGAGGAGGGGATGAGAGAGGAGGAGGGTGGATACAGAGGATGGAGAGAGGAGGGGACTGAGAGAGAGAGAGGGTGGATACGATGGATGGAGAGAGGAAGGGGGGACTGAGGGGCGGGGCTGAGAGGGAGGGGGGATACAGAGGTATGGAGAGAGGAGGGGGAGCTGAGAGGGGGGTGAGAGGAGGGGGGGCTGAGAGAGTGGGGGGGGTGAGAGAGAGAGAGATGGTGAGAACATGGGGTAGGGCCATAGGGAGTGTTCAGGTCATGGGACTGTGCAGTTCTGCAGTGTTCCCTATTTCATCATCTGATCAAGACTGGTGCACTGGTTTGGCAAAAAGATAGAGGGATACATTTTGACCTCCCCTTCTCAGGGAAGTATTCCCCATTTAAACTGAATATGTTTTAGGGTGCGGACTAAAGTAACTAGTCCGTAATGACTATGTAATTGGTTATGTGTTGTTTTTCCATGACAAGATTATTCATCCATTCTACAGTTGGAAGTGAGTGGATCTATGCAGGTGCTGCACTGACGGATGTGAAATAGGGCCGAGAAATACTCCTTCATTGACAGAGAGAGTTGTTGTCCGCAAAACTTGATAACGTAGTCTAGCGTGACAGGATATGTTAAATCATCACTTATACAATTAGTGTCACTTAAAAAATGTGTAGAATGACTTCAATAAAGGAAACTGTATAGAATTGCAATTATATCTCTAAAAACATGTTTAACCTGTTGCATTGAATCCCCCTCATTTGCCTTTTCCTTTGAACAAATATAACGTGATTTCAGTCTCATGGCAAATATGAATGACATGTCTCTTTGTGTGCCTGCGTGCGTGTGTATCGATGCCTGTACGTGTGTGTTATCATAGAGAGGGAAACCAAGGGGGGATTGGTATCCTGTTGTAGTTTCTGGACCTCGTTATTTGAGACCTCCCAGAGAGCTCTGTGCTTTAAGATTCTAGAACCCTGGGGGAGAACAGAACGCCTGATTTTACATTCCTTCTTATTGTTCCCAATGGGGGGGGGGGGGGGGGGGTAGGCACAGAGAAATCGGCCAAAATAATACTGCAAATTATGTCTCTGTGGGAATCGCTGAAATAAATATATCTTCCTACAGTTGTAAGTTATGTAAGTTATTTTACCAGGTTGACTGGGGTACTGCTAGATGACTTAGCTCGCATCACCCTGAACAGACAAATATATGTAGAAGGGACTTTTATTTATCACATCATACAAGGAACGGTGTATAGTCCTATATACACAGTATACCAAACATTAGAAACACGTTCCTAATATTGAGTTGGCTCACCCATGTCTTAATAATCGGAGGAGGTGCACATTACGATTTTGAAGTTAGAGGGTAACAGTGATCCAGAGCCTATTCAAGTTTGTCCTCACGGAAGTTCACATTCACAAACATTATCTGGGTTAAGTTAGTGAGGAATAAGCAGCAGCCAAACAGCCTATGATCAAACTCTTAGCCAGAGCAAAGTTCAAAGCACAGCACAACTTAGTTGATCCATTTCTTACTTATTCCATAGAATAAGGAATTAGAATACTAGAATGGACATTAACCTTCTTATAATGGTCCAAAGGTCAGCCATGTTGGTCAGGGAGTTGGTCAACCATGGTTTGACAATGCTCTGATAAGATATTGCGTAAAATAATGAATGTGAAGAATTTACCTGTGCTGTATGTGTACTAGCTAGCCAGACAGTTTTAGAGGAATAATTCCATCATCTTTTTAAAGGCTGCACTATGCAGAAATCGCACCGCCATTTCCTGGTTTTCTAAAATTCTAATAGTTTGCCTAATTTCAGATTATGTGACAAAACAAGCACGTATAGTGTAGAGAATCATTGTACATCTAAACCGCTGTGAAATATATTTTCCATAACCAAACATATTGTATTTTCAGCTGTTTGAAGCTGGTGTACAAAACTGAAAGTAAAAGACGCAAAACCTAAATTTAAGAACGGGAAGCATAGAAATAGCACACATAGAACAGATCTACTTACACTTGCTTTCAATGAGAATGACTGATCTATAACTACCATTTCTAAGTGAATTTGGTCGGGTCACCCAAAAAGTTAGATATTGCAGCTTTAATTAACTGCCAACATTCAATTCAAACAATGCAGTCAATCCACAGCTCACACTGGCTCAAATCAGTTGATGATAGGACTTATTAGGCACGTTGTAAATGCAACAACTACTTATATTGCATCATATAATAGCACTCACAGCTTTCCAAGAAAACAAAATCTGAGACATTTATGGCCTGTTTACATATATTCTCAAGGCTATTTGTCCAGAAAATCTGTATAAAACCTGAATATACTGTATTTACAATTATATATCAATATTTTAGGTTGACTATAATTCCATTACACAATTTCTGATACTGTACATTACATGCCTTACTTCTATTTTCCTGCATAAGTAAAAGCAGGAAATGCATCACCTCTGCCTCTACTGCCATTCATTCCAATTAGACTGGTTTTGGATTTCTCCTTGACCAAGATGGCTGCCATTTCCCCCAATATGGAACTTTTAGGGTTTATGACATAGCCCCTCTAGTAATTTAATAGGATCTCCATGATTTATTTCTACGAAGGCTGGCTACTCCTCTCTCTCAGAAGGACTGTGCATGTTTGAGATCGACTACATAGCAGTGGGCTGTGCAATGCACCAGATCTTCACAACTGGAAGGGTGTTTCTGAATGTGAAATTCAGAATGCTATAGCAGTCTGAACTGCGCAGCTGAACTGTGATGGAGTCAATCTCAAACACACTGTCTCTCTACATATAGGAGGGATTTCTGCTACCATCTTACCCTTGTCTAATTATTAATGAGAGCTGAACTTGGTGTTTATGTGATGTCCACAGACCACTAATTCAAGACCGTTTTGCAGTGACACCTTTTTGAAGTTACTGTTCATGTTCACAAAGAACCACAAGTCCATTCATCTCTAGAACAAAGGAAGCCATTTTATTTCCACTGGCTGGGGCTCTGGGGCAGTCTCTCTCTGTGGAAACAGTCAGCTTGTTGGAACTTGATTTGAATCATATTCCTAACTGTCAATAATGGTGACTGACATATTTTCTTTAAGTAATCGGAAGCATATTGCAATGTTTGTGGAATGTTAGTGTTGAATCTGAAGATGTCTTGTTCAGTTGAGTTCCCTTTAAGTTAAATCTTACCCTCCCCCCTTGTGTGTACCTCACTCTGCCCCAGTCCAGCCCACATGGGCCTCTGAAGTCTGGTGGAAAAGTGGAGAGTTGAATGGAAGGATATAAAGAAACCAAAGCTGTACTCTAGTCTTTAAGGCAACTGAAAAGGTCAGTCCAGACCAACATAGGCTACTCATTTAAGACAATTTACAGTCTGCAATTCTGGGCTGGCACAAGTTACTTTCCTGTGTAGGCCTACAGTGCATTAGCTATAAACTCAGAGTTCTTTAACAAAACATAGACAGCCTACACATGATAAAACATCTACAGTGCCGTGAAAAAGTATTTGCCCCCTTTCAGATTTTCTCTATTTTTGCATATTTTTTATACTGAATTTTATCAGATCTTCAACCAAAACCTAATGTTAGACACTACCACCACCATGCTTGACTGTTCGTATGAGGTTCTTACTGTGGAATGCAGTGTTTGGTTTTCGCCAGACATAATGGGACCCATCTCGTCCAAAAAGTTGACTAAAGTTTGCCAAAAGGCACCTGGAAGCACCTGGATGATCATCAAGACTCTTGGAAGAATGTTCTATGGACAGATGAGTCAAAAGTGTAACTTTTGGACGACATGGTTTCCATTATGCTAGTAGTAGTAGTATGTGTGAAAACCGACTGGGGGTGGTTCTCATTATAGCTCATCTTTATTTCCATAGAAATAGTGGACTGCATACTGTATTTATTTACATGTATGGTACTTTGTATTCAGTCATTTAAAACAATGATTCGGGTTTAGCATGCCCGAAGCACAGGCATGATAAAGTTATCATTTGGTTACAAAAAGACTGGATGAAGACATGCATTATTTACAAACAAAAAGAAAGTGTGTTTGTCAAGTCTTTTCATAGATATAGTGGGCTGCATATTTACTAGCCAATGGAAATCAGGCATGACATGCGTGATCAACAGGCTTGTTTCAGTTATCATTTGGTTATATAATACTGGATAATGAGTCAAGACATGCATTTCCATATAATTATTTACAACAGACAAGTGTGTTAGTCAAGTCTTTGGTCTATTGTTCCTAACCAGACTAGAAGACATTGTGACCATTACAACATGATGGCTGACTGACTGCATTCAAACTAAAGGCACCTCCTTGAAAACTAATATAGTCTCAGTTCCTATTTCAAGCTACAAGAAGATGTGTATATACAGTACATGTGCATCTATAAATGGCTCTTGCTACATCTACAGTGAGGGAATTAAGTATTTGATCCCCTGCTGATTTTGTACATTTGCCCACTGACAAAGACATGATCAGTCTATAATTTTAATGGTAGGTTTATTTGAACAGTGGAGAGACAGAATAACAACAAAAAAATCCAGAAAAACGCATGTCAAAAATGTTATAAATTGATTTGCATTTTAATGAGGGAAATAAGTATTTGACCCCTCTGCAAAACATGACTTAGTACTTGGTGGCAAAACCCTTGTTGGCAATCACAGAGGTCAGACGTTTCTTGTAGTTGGCCACCAGGTTTACACACATCTCAGGAGGGATTTTGTCCCACTCCTCTTTGCAGATCTTCTCCAAGTCATTAAGGTTTCGAGGCTGACGTTTGGCAACTCGAGCCTTCAGCTCCCTCCACTGATTTTCTATGGGATTAAGGTCTGGAGACTGGCTAGGCCACTCCAGGACCTTAATGTGCTTCTTCTTGAGCCACTCCTTTGTTGCCTTGGCCGTGTGTTTTGGGTCATTGTCATGTTGGAATACCCATCCACGACCCATTTTCAATGGCCTGGCTGAGGGAAGGAGGTTCTCACCCAAGATTTGACGGTACATGGCCCCGTCCATCGTCCCTTTGATGCGGTGTAGTTGTCCTGTCCCCTTAGCAGAAAAACACCCCCAAAGCATAATGTTTCCACCTCCATGTTTGACGGTGGGGATGGTGTTCTTGGGGTCATAGGCAGCATTCCTCCTCCTCCAAACACGGCGAGTTGAGTTGATGCCAAAGAGCTCGATTTTGGTCTCATCTGACCACAACACTTTCACCCAGTTCTCCCAGGCCGAGCGAGATTGACAGTTCTTTTGTGTTTCTTCCATTTGCGAATAATCGCACCAACTGTTGTCACCTCCTCACCAAGCTGCTTGGCGCTGGTCTTGTAGCCCATTCCAGCCTTGTGTAGGTCCACAATCTTGTCCCTGACATCCTTGGAGAGCTCCTTGGTCTTGGCCATGGTGGTGAGTTTGGAATCTGATTGATTGATTGCTTCTGTGGACAGGTGTCTTTTATACAGGTAACAAGCTGAGATTAGGAGCACTCCCTTTAAGAGTGTGCTCCTAATCTCAGCTCATTACCTGTATAAAAGACACCTGGGAGCCAGAAATCTTTCTGATTGAGAGGGGGTCAAATACTTATTTCCCTCATTAAAATGCAAATCAATTTATAAAATTTTTGACATGCGTTTTTCTGGATTTTCTTGTTGTTATTCTGTCTCTCACTCTTCAAATAAACCTACCATTAAAATTATAGACTGATAATTTCTTTGTCAGTGGGCAAACATACAAAATCAGCAGCGGATCAAATACATTTTTCCCACACTGTATTTCCTTGGTGTGTCATTCCAACCACTGACAAGTTGAATTGCTACGTTAGTCAGATTAATGAAAACTACATAGTGTAACCGCAAACTGAAATATAAACATTTAATAAAAACAGATTTAAAAACAGCAAACTTAAATACTGTAATAGAATTATCCAAATACTCAGTAATAAACAGTTTACTGGCCTGAAAATACTGACAGGTTTTTGAAGCCTGTATTTACCCATTGTTCAAAGACATAATGAAACATCTTGGCGCAAAAGTAATTGGTCAAATAACGTATAAAATATAAAATCCAAATAAAACCAAAGTAAAATAGTAAGCTGCCACAAATAAAACATTGTAACAGGGTGAATTGTAGAACCAATTTAGAATGTTCTATATAAGGACCCACAATCAAGTTCACAATCAAACCAGCAAACAGCAGCAACATTGGAATGCAAACATCAGTAGTCAATAGTTACAGTATATTGAGTGCAAGGTTAAACCAAGTCTCTCTATTGCAGGGTATGTATGGGTTCAATCAGACGCAGTACTGGTTGTCTCTCAGAGTAGGTGTGGGGGTACTCAATAGTATAACGTTTAGTTAGTATCTCTGTTTCAATGTATGGGTATGAGCTGGGGATCAATTAGACCCAGTACTGGTTGTCTCTCAAAGTGGGCTCGGGGGGTTGACAGTGCTGGGCCTGTACCATATCAGGAACAGCGTCCACCGCCCAGAGCAGCAGACAAGGGTCACGTGGAGCCAGCGTTCCCCTACGCAGCACATTGAGGACCGGAGTACTGGGGCAACTATTAGGGCCCAGCAGCGGAGTCACCACCACTGAGGGGACCGCAATGCTCCTCTCCGGCCTGCCCAGGTAGGGGCTCCCCTCTGGCCGTCCATCTCCAGCTGCAGCCGCCAGCTCTTGGATGACTCCTCTGGATAAGGCCCTCTTCTCCCTGCGGTGGCGCAGCACCAGGATCAGCACCACCAGGATGACGATGAGCAGCAGGCAGGCCAGGAAGGGCAGGATGAGCAGCAGGGGGTCGGAGGCCGGCCGGGGCAGGGACTCTACCCGGACTGGGGTGATTCTGTGGGGGCCGTGGACGTTGTGTTTCCCGTGGGTGTTTCCGGGGACGGTGGGGATCATGGGGTGACCTCCGCGGGTCTGGTTCCCCCAGTGGTGACGGCCTTTGAACTGCTTCTGTAGGGTCTTGTTGTGGGTCTTGTGGTTTGTGGTGTGAGGGTGGGTAGCAGAGTGGATTGTAGTCCCTTTGCCGCCTGTGGTTCGATTGCGCCCAGGTGACCTGGTCGTGTGGTTCAAACTCTCTTTGTATGGCACGATGGTGAATAGAAACTCTCCTACGGCCGGCTGGACATTATCCGCCCTCAGAAGGAACGAAAAGGAGTCATTGAGCATGGACACATGGATCTCTGTTGTGTTGTGGTCGGCGGTCCCTAATTGGGACAGTAAAGATGTTGATTGATTGGCAGTGTTGTTGCTGTGTCTTTGATGTGCCAGGGTCTCCTCTAAGGCCACCCTGCCCTGCACCACGTCCCGGAAGGTAAACGACTCCACCGAGTGATTGACACCGTCCAATAGGTCAAAGGTCAACTTGACCAACTTGCCGTGTTTGGGCGGGGACAGGATGTGGAAGACAGGGTCGCTGCCACTGAGCGTGGCGAGGTCCGTGGCGTCCAGATAGTCCTTCCTCAGCTTCACGGCGATGCCGCTGGGAATCAGGACGCGCTTGCTGAAATGGATTAGCGGTCGGACCGTGATATTGACCGTCTGAGCGGTCATGTTGCTCTCTGTGGTCGAGACTATGAACTCAAAGCTGTCCGAGGAGGAGGTGAGGTCCGTCATGTGATAGGACAGTCTGCATGAGTGAAGGTCCTCCTGGTTAAACTCACTGACTGGCAGGTCGGACATGAGGAGACTGCCGTGGTGTGGCGGTGTGGTCACTCTATAGTGAATCGTCACACTGTGTCTCCCATTGGTCTCTGCAGCCAGGTGTTCTGTTGTTAAGGTAGCAGTTGTCTGACCCTGCACCAGCCTCAAGCCTGTGTTGTTCACCATGGAGACGGTTGCTGCAGCGACCTCCAGGTTGAAGAGCTTGTATAGCGGCCGGTGGAACCCGTCGGTCACACTGAAGTAGAACACCCCTGAAGAGGGTTCTCCGTCCTGGACGAAGTGGACTCTGCCATGGTTAATGTCCGCCTGGGAGAAGGCAGACACTGTCTCATTCAGCTGCTCTCCCAGAGACAGGAAGCCATTGTTGGGTTTGCTGATCACCTAAATCAAATAAAATAAAATGTCAATGCATTTCACAGATGTGTCTCAACAACACACAGAAAAAAAGTAGGGAGGGAAAACAGAATTACTGTAAAAATGACAACAACAAGTAAGGTGTAAACAATGAGGGGCTGTAAAGGTGAAGGACGGTGAAGGACGACTTGAAGAAGACCTTGTAATGGATCTCTTCTGGTGGGGTGTCCAGGTCTTCCACCAGGAGGTTCTCAGGGCTGAAGACCACTGTGTCCCCTTGCACCAGCCTCAGACTGGGGGCCTTGGTCCGGAGCAGGGGCGGCTGGTCATTGACAGGGGTCACTGTGAGGTCAAACGACTCTGTTACTATCAGGCTGGGCTCTGAGCGTCTCTGGGGAGGCTGGCCCTTACGGTTCAGCCAAGCCTCGAAGGTGAAGAAGTCCTGGGTCGTCTCGGAGTCGTCGTGCTGGTACGTGATGCCGAAATTATCCAGGATGAACTGGGAGAAGTTGGGTTTGGCGCTGGTCAGGTTGCGTTCTCCCACGGTGATTATGCCGTGCTGGGGTAGAGAGGTGACGTGGTACCAGACCTCGTAGGAATGTCGCTGGGGTTCCAACAGCTTGCCCAGCAGGTTAGAGGCATCCAGCTGCATCTTGTCAATCACCACTCTGCCACCTTCAGTCACAACAGCACCTGGTAAGACAGAGGAACAACATACAAACATAAACAAAAAGCTTTAATTTGACATTCATCAATATCAGGATTGTCATTGCAAATAAGAATACATTCAAAAGTTTAACTTGAGGTTTTGGACCAGCGATGGTATTCTGCAGGGTAGGTTAGCTGGGCATACTACTGTCAAGAGTCCAGTAGAGCCTTTGTCTGCCTGTCTGTCTGTCTGTCTGTCTATCTAACAGCAACACAGACTAACTGACTCACCAGTATTAGCAGTGAGGATGGTGTTGCGCTCTGCAGGAGCATGCTCATAGGAGATATGGATGCTGAAGACGTGGGGTTGAAGAGAGACAGAGGATGAAGACACTGTGAAAGTGAAGGAGTCTGTGGTCGTCCATCCCAACGTTTCAGGATGGGTTTGGTCATAACTAATCAAACCCTCATTCACCTAAAATAACAAGACAACAGAGAAAAGAGGACAGGGATATTGTAACGTCAAAATCCAAGTTATTGATGCAAAGACACTCTTAAAATGTGTCTTGTAAAGAAAACATAACCGTGCCAAACATAAATAAAACTGTCTCTCTATTCACTTTACTGTAAGACGTGAGATTACACAAACACACATAGGCCCACCATGTCTTGTGTGAATGAGGAGATCTCTGCAGTAGAGTTGTCTGTCTGTTTTCTGAGCAGTCTCCCCAGCTTTGGAGGACTGGTAACACTGTAAAGGATGGAGTGGTTCCCTCTCATGTCACCGTTGTCATTGGTAACCACCAGAAGGTCATTCTGAGAGATGGTCTTCACAGAGCCTGCAGAGACAAAAACAGGACCGTGTTTAGTAGGGATAAAACCTGCAGAGTGGCTGCGTGACCAGATTCTCTGGACACCTCTTTCCGATAGCTAAACAACCGTACCTTCTGCAATTGTGCTACTTTACACCCGAAAAATGTACGCCGATGATCGGACGTCTTTGTCTGGTGAAAGGCATGTTGTACAAACTTCTGCTGTAACTATAAAAGACATGATCAAGATGTTGTACAAACTTCTTTGTCTGTTGTAACTAAAAGGACATTGCAGTATTCCAAACATAAGCAGGAGGCAGACAGGCAGTCTAAGTAGCTATTTAATGTTGGTTTTTTTAGGTGGGGAGTTACATGCCGCTATCTAGACAGCATTATCTTGGAAGATTACATCATCAGGATGCAGACAGGCAGTCAAAGTAGTAGTGTTCTTTTTGTCAGCTTTTCAGTCTATGATATGGCAGCATATTATGAAGATTACATCAAGCATATCTATGAAGATTACATGCCTAAAGTAACACATGCGCAGAACGTGATACGGTTGTTTAGCTCTGGGGAAGAGGCATCCTGGGGGGCAGGACAGGGGCAGAATGGGGCGGTTCAATCCATTCGCGCAGCCTCTGCCTAAAACCTATTGAAACATGGAGAAAACATTTACTACCTTACTGAACACGACCAGGGTATCAAGTTAAAATCACCCTACAAAAGGCAAACTGACAATATCATGTGATAAACTTTGTTGTTGAAGTGGGCATAGATAATAGGAAGCATCCCATACTGTACTGTTAGCAAGTTCTCAAGGGCGATTGGATTACCTTTCTGTATAATGTAAGACTATGCCACCTCTGTTATCATATAGTCTTGATAAACAAGGCCCCTGGCCAGTAGGCATAATGGCTGATAAGTTAAGTATGATTAAGTTACTTAGCAACCTACCACATAACCAGCTGGTAAAGGCTGGCAGCTGGCACCATGGTCATCTGATTCAGTAAAGACTGGCAGCTGGCACCATGATAATCTGATTCAGTAAAGGTTGGCAGCTGGCACCATGATAATCTGATTCAGTAAAGGCTGGCAGCTGGCACCATGATAATCTGATTCAGTAAAGGCTGGCAGCTGGCACCATGATAATCTGATTCAGTAAAGGCTGGCAGCTGGCACCATGATAATCTGATTCAGTACAGGCTGAGAATGACTTTATACTGCAGCAGAAAGACTAGGGGTTTACTAGCCTGGTCCCAGATATGTTTGTGCTGTCTTGACAACTCCTGTGGTCATTGTCATGTGAATCACCAAAAGAGTTGGCAAGACAACACAAACAGATCTGGGACCAGGCTTAGGCAATGAGGCTAATGCAGGTGGTGGCGGCGGGGAATACTATTTATATCTGTCTGTTGTTTGTTTCTTGCTGTGTTTCATATATGTTTTATATATTCACTTTGTGAGCTGTACCAAGATTTTCCTCTTGTAGGACAATAAAACAATTTCTGATTATGGTGTAGGGGGTGGCTATAGTTCTATTTCCTCTTATGTTACCTGAGAACACCATAACTGGTTCAAGTTCTATATATGTAGTTACTGCTACCTGGGAACACCATAACTGGTTCATGTTCTATATATGTAGTTACTGCTACCTGGGAACACCATAACTGGTTCATGTTCTATATATGTAGTTACTGCTACCTGGGAACACCATAACTGGTTCATGTTCTATATATGTAGTTACTGTTACCTGGGAACACTGTGAGGGCGTGGTTCGACGTCTATATACACTGAGTATACCAAACATTAGGAACACCTTCCTAATATTGAGTTACAACCCCCCCCCCTTTGCCTCAATTTGTCAGGGCATGGACTCTACAAGGTGTCGAAAGCGTTGCATAGGAATGCTGGCCCATGTTGACTCTAATGCTTCCCAGAGTTGTGTCAAGTTGGTTGGATGTCCTTTGGGTGGTGGACCATTCTTGATACACACGGGAAACTTTTGAGCGCGATAAACCCAGCAGTGTTGCAGTTCTTGACCGGTGTGCCTGGCACCTACTACCATACCCCATTCAAAGGCACTTAAATATTTTGTCTGGCCCATTCACCCTTTGAATGGCACATATACACAATCCATGTCTCAATTGTCTCAAGGCTTAAAAATATTTATTTAACCTGTCTCCTCCCCTTCATCTACACGGATTGAAGTGGATTTAACAAGTGACATCAATAAGGGATCATAGCTTTCACCTGGATTCACCTGGTCAGTCTATGTCATGGAAACAGCAGGTGTTCTTAATGTTTTATATACTCAGTGTATCTAGTTACTGTTACCTGGGAACACTGTGAGGGCATGGTTCCGCTCCAGGCTGAGGACCAGGGAGCGGGCCGTGGTGCTGAAGATCTGTCGTGGGGCAAAGTTCACCCCATCATTGACCTGGAAGTGGAAACCTCCGGACAAGGCACCTGCAAGGAACAAAAGTCTGTCTTAACGCTTCCGGTCGTTGGATATACTACAGTACAGTAGTCTGTGGTTATAACCCTTATAATCCCCCAGAAGAGGGATATGACTTGTATGTCTAACTTGCATGTTGTATATTGTCCACTTGCATCGGCAGCATTTTGTTGGCACCCTTCAGCCCTCCTAACCTTCTATTCTATAAGCTACCTCCTATTGATATCTACTATACAGTATACATAGTCTCACCACTGTGGACAAACACCAGCTGTCCGTGGAGGATGTGTGTCTGGGTGAAGTTGAGGATGTGCCTGGAAGGGGCGCTCTTCAGGGCCAGGTGACCGTTACTAGGTGGGGTCACGATGAATTCTAGGTCCTCAGGTGGAGAGTCACTGTCCTCAGCACACAGGTCACCTACACTGATCTCTGTGACTGAGTTCACCCACACCTGTATAGGGGACAGGTAGAGAAGAGGACAGTTACAGGTAGAGAAGAGGACAGTTACAGGTAGAGAAGAGGACAGTTACAGGTAGAGAAGAGGACAGTTACAGGTAGAGAAGAGGACAGTTACAGGTAGAGAAGAGGACAGTTACAGGTAGAGAAGAGGACAGTTACAGGTAGAGAAGAGGACAGTTACAGGTAGAGAAGAGGACAGTTACAGGTAGAGAAGAGGACAGTTACAGGTAGAGAAGAGGACAGTTACAGGTAGAGAAGAGGACAGTTACAGGTAGAGAAGAGAACAGTTACAGGTAGAGAAGAGGACAGTTACAGGTAGAGAAGAGGACAGTTACAGGTAGAGAAGAGGACAGTTACAGGTAGAGAAGAGGACAGTTACAGGTAGAGAAGAGGACAAGCAAAACAAGCAGAAAGAAAGATTGAGAATTGAAAAGATTTCTGTCAAACATGGAAATTCTATCAATATTCTACCACCATATTGTACCACAACCTACAGCAGTGGTTCCCAACCTTTATTGGTTACTGTACCACCAACTGAATCTTTGCTCTGCCCAGAGAACCCCTTAATTCTTTAGAGTCTAAACCCTGTCTAAGGCGAGGGGGGGGTTCTACTAAACTATATGGAATTATTTTAAGGTCATACCAAGGATCATTTTGCTATTTGATTTTGAATTTTAAGACCCCTTGAAGAATAAAAATATATAATTTGATGAAAAATGAGTACCCATAAATATCAAAAGGATGTTTGTTCTGAAGTGTCTGTCTTATATTCCATTTACATTTGAGTCATTTAGCAGACGCTCTTATCCAGAGCCACTTACAGTTAGGGAGTGCATACATTTTCAAACATCTGAGAGATATAAGATCAGATAGATCTGATAACCAGGTGGCGATAACCAGGTGGCAAATCGCATCTCTGCATGTCTGGCAGACATATCAGTATGGATGACGGATCACCACCTCAAGCTGAACCCTGGCAAGACGGAGCTGCTCTTCCTCCCGGGGAAGGACTGCCCGTTCCATGATCTCGCCATCACGGTTGACAACTCCGCTGTGTCCTCCTCCCAGAGTGCGAAGAGCCTAGGCGTGACCCTGGACAACACCCTGTCGTTCTCCGCCAACATCAAGGCGGTGACCCGCTTCTGCAGGTTCATGCTCTACAACATTCGGAGAGTACGACCCTGCCTTACACAGGAAGCGGCACAGGTCCTAATCCAGGCACTTGTCATCTCCCGTCTGGACTACTGCAACTCGCTGTTGGCTGGCCTCCCTGCCTGTGCCATTAAACCCCTACAACTCATCCAGAATGCCGCAGCCCGTCTGGTGTTCAACCTTCCCAAGTTCTCTCACGTCACCCCCCTCCTCCGCACACTCCACTGGCTTCCAGTTGAAGCTCGCATCCGCTACAAGACCATGGTGCTTGCCTATGGAGCAGTGAGGGGAACGGCACCTCTGTACCTTCAGGCTCTGATCAGTCCCTACACCCAAACGAGGGCATTGCGCTCATCCACCTCTGGCCTGCTGGCTCCCCTTCCTCTGCGGAAGCATAGTTCCCGCTCAGCCCAGTCAAAACTGTTCGCTGCTCTGGCACCCCAATGGTGGAACAAGCTCCCTCACGACGCCAGGACAGCGGAGTCACTCACCACCTTCCGGAGACATTTGAAACCCCACCTCTTTAAGGAATACCTGGGATAGGATAAAGGAATCCTTCTACCCCCCCCCAATTGTAAAGTGGTTATCCCACTGGCTATAGGGTGAACGCACCAATTTGTGAGTCGCTCTGGCTAAGAGCGTCTGCTAAATGACGTTAATGTGCCCTTGAGCAAGGCACTTAACCCTAATTGCTCCTGTAAGTCGCTCTGGATAAGAGCGTCTGCTAAATGACTAAAATGTAAAATGTAAATGTAGAAAACATTTGTATATATATATATTTTTTTTTATATTTAACCCCTTATTTTTGGCACTAACAGTCTCCATATATACTTCCATTCATTTTTTCAACTGGTACCGGGGGACCTTCAGACATGTCTTGTGAGGCCTGTAGGCATCATAGAGCAAAACATGTACGTGTTCGTGAGAGCCTCACCTTTCCACACAGGGGTCATATTAGTGTGTAGTCCAAACTGTTCAGACGCTACAGATGGAAGTTGGCAGATCGGCTGTACGGACTTCAGACGAGTCCCAAGATGCTTGTGGGGGTCGTAGAGCAAAACATGATAGTTTTATAGGCCAAACCGTTTGGACGCTACAGACGATTTTGTGAGAAGACCGATTTTGGGGATGTCTCATGGTCTGATAAACACCGCTCTAGCTCTGTCACCTTTCACTGCAGATGTGGAAATGCGACATCGGCGGATGCGGAGGATCTAATGCAAAAAAAACGGATATCTCTAGCTTAAATTGACAGGCTTTTAATGGGGATTTTTGTATAATGCTATTTAGATTTCCGCGGGGTGTGGACATCGACCTTAGGGTGTTTAAATACCTCCTCATGTGCATTTTAGCAGTAGGCCTATGGTCTCATGAGTCTTCTCAAGTACCCCCTGTGGATAGGCCAAGTACCCCTAGTTGGGAACCACTAACCTACAGTATGTCATGAAAGTTGGTTGTTGTCTGATACCACCACTGAGAGTGATGTCCTCCTTGTGGACAGTTTGGGTACTTCAATAATACCAGAAAAGGAAATGCATGCAATCTTGACTGAATGTTCAAAATACCAGATTCTTAACTTAATTACTTTTCTTGGAACAATGCTACACTCTTATATTCGAAGTCACAAGGGTGTAAACATTAAACTGTGGCTCATACATTTGAACAACAAAATAACTCAATTGGACTCAACTCCAGCAACAACAGAAACATCTCAAGGTTAAGAGGGACAGTTGAGAGTATGTCAGGAATTCCAACTATTTGATAAGTTGGGGCAAACTCTCAACTCTAAGCCTTTGCTAAATTATTTTTCATGACAGTACAGGAAGTTGCCAAACGACCAGTGACACAGTTTCCTGACCACTCCCAAAATAGAGCCCAATGACACATTTTTCTTATAAATCCTGTTCCTCAAAATCATGAGACTAAAACACACCGACATTACTTAGGAGGAGCATACTAGCATAGGTCAATCACAAATTCCTCACACTTTTTTTGTGCCAGTTTCTGGAGTTCCTTCCATCTCTGTTATTACACATATCTGTTACTACAGTATTATTGTGTTATAAACACACAAAAAACTCACCTTTAGAATCCTGTTGGCTGTGATTACTGGGGCCTCATCATTGACAGGCGTCACATGGACGAACACCGTGCAGGGCTGGCTGTGCTTTCTGGTGTCTGTGTCATTGGCGATAATGGTGAAGTTATCTGCCAGTGTATCACTTCCATCGTGGACATAATAAATATGCCCTGAATCCACCTGAAACCACAGAAATGACCCAAAGGTTAGGAAATCTATCTGTCCGGTATAATTCCATCTGCCCAGTAGAGACACTATTTTTAAAACCCTACTGGTAGAAGATGTTCCACCTGAAGAAGATAAGAACTTAGATGACCTTGGACCTTTTACTAACCTGTTTGCGTGTGAAGAAAGAAATGGAGAGTCCAGAAATGCGTGCGTGTTCAATATGACCGTGGCTTGGTGGCTCAGATACATGGTAGAAGAAGTCTACCTGAGAGAAGTGTCTGTTGGTGACCTGTAGGACCTCCTTGGTCAGGGCCGTGGATGACCCTTCTTCCAAGGTCACGTTGAAGACATTGAGAGGGATGTGGATTGGGATGATGTCCACAGAGACCCTGATAGAATAGAATTAAATAGAATGAGATGCTTTATTGTCCATTTGGTTAGAACGGAAACTAATCTTCTGCCTTTTTCCCCAACACACACACACAGAGGCACGGTGTCAGCCACGGTGCAGTGCGCCTGGATGGAGAGTGTTGGATTCGAACTTCTAACTTGAAATATCTTACACTATTTGAACTGAGTGGATGGCATCTACTGAGGGAGAAAGGGGAGGAGAGGAAGTTTACATTCTGTCAGAACATGTTATGGTTAAATCTCAGGTATCCTATGGAGAGGAGAAGGGCCACAGTCTGGTTTTAGTCACTGATAAGGTAGGACAGCTGTGAGTTGGGGAGGAGTGAGGAATGCGGGTCGAGGTCAGGTCAGCTGAAGTGAGAAAGAACAGTCACCACTAAAGTCCTGCCTAGCAACAGAGATGTATTGGCTGACTAGATGTGTAAGGAGGAGACTCAGCCTAGAAAGAGGGTATAAATACAGTTGAAGTTGGAAGTTTCCATACACCTAGGTTGGAGTCATTAAAACTTGTTTTTCAACCACTCCACAAATTTTTGTTAACAAACTATAGTTTTGGCAAGTCGGTTAGGCCATCTACTTTGTGCATGACACAAGTAATTTTTCCAACAATTGTTTATAGACAGATTATTTCACTTATAATTCACTGTATCACAATTCCAGTGGGTTAGACGTTTACATACACTAAGTTGACTGTGCCTTTAAACAGCTTGGAAAATTCCAGAAAATGATGTCATGGCTTTAGAAGCTTCTGATAGGCTAATTGACATCATTTGAGTCAATTGGAGGTGTACCTGTGGATGTATTTCAAGGCCTACCTTCAAACTCAGTGCCTATTTGCTTGACATCATGGGAAAATCAAAAGAAATCAGCCAAGACCTCAGAAAAAAAATGGTAGACCTCCACAAGTCTGGTTCATCCTTGGGAGCAATTTCCAAACGCCTGAAGGTACCACGTTCATCTGTACAAACAATAGTACGCAAGTATAAACACCATGGGACCATGCAGCCATCAAACTGCTCAGGAAGGAGACGCGTTCTGTCTCCTAGAGATGAACGTACTTTGGTGCGAAAAGTGCAAATCAATCCCAGAACAAACAGCAAAGGACCTTGTGAAGATGCTGGAGGAAACAGGTACAAAATTATCTATATCCGCAGTAAAACGAGTCCTATATCGACATAACCTGAAAGGCCGCTCAGCAAGGAAGAAGCCACTGCTCCAAAACCGCCATAAAAAAGCCAGATTACGGTTTGCACCTGCACATGGGGACAAAGATCGTACTTTTTGGAGAAATGTCCTCTGGTCTGACGAAACAAAAATGGAACAGTTTGGCCATAATGACCATCGTTATGTTTGGAGGAAATAGGGGAATGCTTGCAAGCCGAAGAACACCTTTTTAAGTTCAGTGGGGGAAGAGAAAGAGGGACTCTGAAATACGAAGAGAAAAAGGACCAAAACAGAGCTGAAAGACCCCTGTCTTCTCCACGGGAAGACTATTGTCAAATCAAAGAAGCAACACGAAACGAAGTTCTTGACTGCCTGAACCACGACAAAAAAATAAGTAAAATGGCGGACCCGGACAAATTAAACATCCACTCCATAATACAGCGTCTTCGGGAAGTTAAGGGCTCTCGACCAGGCAAAAACGTTCAGCTGACAGAGAACGAGATCCGTGGCCTTTGCCTTAAGCCTCGCAAAATCTTCCTCAGCCAGCCAATCCTGCTCGAGCTTGAGGCACCACTCAAGATCTGCGGTGATGTCCATGGTCAGTACTATGACCTTCTGCGGCTGTTTGAGTACGGAGGCTTCCCCCCGGTGAGCAACTACCTGTTCCTAGGGGACTATGTGGACCGAGGGAAGCAGTCCCTGGAGACCATCTGCCTGCTTCTGGCCTACAAGATCAAATACCCGAGAACTTCTTCCTGCTGCGTGGCAACCAAGATTGCGCCTCCATTAACCGTATCTATGGCTTTTATGATGAGTGTAAGAGACGGTATAACATCAAGCTGTGGAAGACGTTCACAGACTGCTTCAACTGTTTACCCGTGGCTGCAATTGTAGATGAGAAGATCTTCTGCTGCCATGGAGGCCTCTCTCCAGACCTCCAGTCCATGGAGCAGGTGCGCAGAGTGATGCGACCCACAGATGTGCCTGACCAGGGCCTGCTGAGTGACCTGCTGTGGGCCGACCCAGACAAAGATGTCCTGGGCTGGGGCGAGAACGACCGTGGGGTCTCCTTTACATTCGGGGCAGATGTGGTGGCCATATTTTTGCACAAACATGACATGGACCTTATATGCAGGGCACATCAGGTGGTAGAAGACGGTTACGAGTTCTTTGCAAAGAGACAGCTTGTTACTCTGTTCTCTGCCCCTAACTACTGTGGAGAGTTTGATAATGCCGGTGCCATGATGAGTGTGGATGAGACCCTCATGTGCTCCTTTCAGATTCTCAAGCCAGCGGATAAGAAGCTCTACTCTTAAGGTGGAGGTGGAGGAATGGGATCTGGACGCCCGGTCACCCCGCCACGAAATTCCGCTAAGGGCGGAAAGGCCAAGAAATAACACCCACTGGACACCGCTCCCTGAACCAAGCACCCCTGTCGCCCCCCCCCCCCCCCCCCCCTCCCCCACACACTCTTTCTCTACCTCCCTACTTCTATCTCCCTCATCACCAAACGGCAACAAAGCAGACAGTACCTAGGGTTCGGTCCTCTTTTTCTCTGATACTGTTTTGAACTGTTTGAGTGTATGTCCGTGCGTGTGTCTGAAAGAGAGGTTTGTTGTATTCTGTTTGTATTTCCTCCCTTTCCCCTACTCTCTTCTCCTGTCACTTTGTAGATGAAATTGGTCCTTCCTTTCAGTGATGGAAATGCAGACCTGGGGGAGAAGGAGGAGAGATGGGGATAGGGAGGGGGAATGGGGAATGGGGAGAGGGAGGAGAGATGGGGATAGGGAGGGGGAATGGGGAGAGGGAGGAGAGATGGGGATAGGGAGGGGGAATGGGGAGAGGAAAGGAGGCTTTACTGTTGGTTAGGGCCCTGCACTGTTTTGATGCTAAACACAAGCTTTTGTACATCCTGTTTGAGAGGTTTGTGTGTGTGTGTATGTGTATGGAATGGGGTCAATCTGCATGGTCAGATGGTAACAACGGCACACACCACACACTGAGAGCACAGGTGGATATGTGCAGATGGACCCTTTAGTTTATGGATTCACAAAGATCAAGAAGCGGACACGTTTTGTTCTTCTTCCCAAAAACCAATGATTTGAAAACGCAATCATGGATGTGAAATAGCTTTGCTTTTTCTTTTTGTAGATGCATAAAAAAAGGTTTGAATCTTTTGAGTTTTAGTTTATTTGGAAGCCGATGATTAATAAAGAACCATTTAAAATATTCCATCACACCATGTTCACTATGTTCACCTCACCATTGCTTTGTAATTTGTTTATATAATAAATTCCTCTACCCCACATGTCAAACTCATTCCACAATGGGCTGAGTTTTCGCTCCACCCTTGTACTTGGTTGATGAATTAAGGTCACTAACTAGTAAGGAACTTAATTGAAAGGAAAAACCAAAAACCCGCAGACACTCGGCCTCCATGGAATGAGTTTGACACCCCTGCTCTACCCCCTTTGTCATTCCCACTTGCTCCTCTCATCTGAATGGTATCGAAAGCTATGTTTGTTCAGGGTGGGATGTTGGGATTAGTTGCTGGCTCCATGAAATACCCATTTCCTGTGCAGCATTTTGGGGTCTTTTGCTTAGTCATTTCCCATCACCCCCTATCCTTTAAATGAAATGTCTGTTCTCCTTGCCCCTATCCTTTAAACACTGTCAATGTTCATCTCTCTGGTTCTCATTCCCCCACAATCTTCCATATTCTGTCTCCCATTTTGCTCAGTAGTTTCTCTCTGGGTTCTGAGTAGTCAAAGAATGTCATTCCTCAATTCTCACCCCACTTTGCCTCTGCACCCCCCCTGTTTTTCTCTTCTTTTTCTCTTTTATATTTAAAGATGATGTGTAACAACTTGCCAGACAGCATTAATGGTCATTTCCTGTGCTGGGTTCCTTCTCACCTTTTAGTACAGTACTCCTCTAGTGGAGAGGAGAGTGCTTCTAGTGCGCTCTCCTCTCCACTAGGTGGCGCATTTCATACAACTGACTCACCATTGCGTCATCTCACTGAAGACTGGGATTCAGGAGTACTGTACTATTCAATGCGCCCCATGCAGTGCTGGGTGCATTCATGGTGCATGGGCGGCAGTATGTTTTTTAAAGCGCACATACCTCAAGGTTTTTGGCTTTGCAGTTTATAAAGAAAATTGATCATATTGTGAGACCAAGGAGTGTTGGTTTTAATTTCGTTATGATCCATTGACCAGAGGAAGTCTTATTTGCTGTTAGATCAAGATATTGAATGCTTGATATACAATATATTACATGGAAAGGTAATACGCTTGTTTTTAAAAGAGCTGGGTTGGAAAACCTTTTTTTTTCTCCCAATGTGTTGGAATTGTCATCAATGGCTTTCAGGCCAATATTAAATTACTTGTTTTATGACAAGGCTTTAAGATAATGATTCAGAGCTGTAATGTAGACCATCTGAAATGTTTAGAAAACATGCATTTTGGAGGCAAGCTTTGCTTACATGCTTTAGACAGTACAGTAGAGCAATTAAAATATAAAACAATGCATCAACTTTAAGAAAAATTGTTTTGGGGATCATTGCAGGTCTTAATATTACTGTCCTGAATGATACCAATTTCACCCGACCCTACTCTGTTCATAGCGGTGTAAACGTTCTGCTTGCAATGTTGGTCAGATCATTAATTTGGTAAAATCGTTATTGTTATTAAGACATCACCACCAACAATCTACTGTAACTATCTACATCAATCTTATTTATTTTGACCTATTTTATTTTAAGAACTAGGGCAATATAGATATTGTAATAATGTAAAAAAAAAAAATCTTTCAACCAATCAGGGACGTTTTTCCTTCATGCACTGTCGCTGGGTAGAATACAAGGCCACGTTCAGTTTCCAAACGTCGAATGTTGCAGATAGAAATGCCATGAATAGAGCTGATGTGAGTTCTTATTCTACAGTATGAAAAATGTATGCACTCACTAACTGTAAGTCGCTCTGGATAAGAGCGTCTGCTAAATGACTAAAATGTAAAATGTAAATGTAAACACCATCCCAACCGTGAAGCATGGGGGTGGCAGCATCATGCTACGGGGGTGCTTTGCTGCAGGAGGGACTGGTGCACTTCACAAAATAGATGGCGTCATGAGGAAGGAAAATTATGTGGATATATTGAAACATCTCAAGACATCAGTCAGGAAGTTAAAGCTTGGTCGCAAATGGGTCTTCCAAATGGACAATGACCCCAAGCATACTTCCAAAGTTGTGCCAAAATGTCTTAAGGAAAACAAAGTCAAGGTATTGGAGTGACCATCACAAAGCCCGGACCTCAATCCTATAGAACATTTGTGGGCAGAACTGAAAAAGTGTGTGCGAGCAAGGAGGCCTACAAACATGACTCAGTTACACCAGCTCTGTCAGGAGGAATGGGCCAAAATTCACCCAATTTATTGTGGGAAGCTTGTGGAAGCTTGTGGAACGTTTGACCCAAGTTAAACAATTTAAAGGCAATGCTACCAAATACTAATTGAGTGTATGTAAACTTCTGACCCACTGGGAATGTGATGAAGGAAATAAAAGCTGAAATAAATCATTCTCTCTACTATTATTCTGACATTTCACATTCTTAAAATAAAGTGGTGATCCTAACTGACCTAAGACAGGGAATTTTTACTAGAATTAAATGTCAGGAATTGTGAAAAACTGAGTTTAAATGTATTTGGTTAAGGTGTATATAAACTTCCGACTTCAACTGTATATGTACCTGTGTAAACATGTATTTGCCTTTTCAGCTGTTTGAACCAGTGGGTGAATAAACTTGGTTTGTGCTTTGACTAGTAGTCCGTTAGTTTTTCACTCTGTTTGTCAGAACCTAACAAGAATAATTCAAATGTTTTGCTTGAACCGGCAACCTCCCTGCTGCTGGTCTGCCTGACATCTATCTACCTGATGTCATGGACCTTTGGTCAGCCTGTCATCTACCTACCTGGTGTCATGGACTTCTGGTCAGCCTATCATCTACTTACCTGATGTCATGGACATCTGTGATGCCGTTGGAGGCGTCCAGGAGGAAGGAGTCGTGGGTCTGGTCTGAATCCACCTGGAGGTACTGGATGTGTCCAGTGTTGACATCCTCCTGGGAGAAGGCGTGGATGGTCTCCTCTCTGCGACCCTGGTAGTGATGGTCCTCTCCCTTGGTTGACCTATGGAGGAACCCGTGGGATGGAGCCGTCTTCACCTTGAACACTATCTCAGAGGGGAGGCTGTCCTTATGGGTCACCTGAAAACAGAGGTGAGATGAAAGATGTGACATGACATGAGATTAGACTATTTGGTGGTATTTGAGAGGTGTGGTGTTTTACAAGACAAAAAAGTAACGTGTAAATGTGTCTATGTTTGTAAATTAATTCTAGTATTATTCCTAAGCATAAAACTTGTGTAACACCCCTGCTAAGCTAATGGGATCTGTTATTGTGTCCTCCCTTACAACTAAAACGTGTGACGATAGCCCATGGTTCTATACAGAAACAAACTGCTTGTGATAGGGAACTTCAATGTAGTATCTCACCTCCAGGTCTCCTCTGTTGATCTTGACAGGCTTGCCCTCCTCCACCACTACAATGTGGTTGTAGATTACAGTGGGAGGCTGCTGGTGGCTCTCCAGGTACACCCTCACCCCAACGCTGGCGTCAAGACGCACCTCTTTAACTCTCACCGTGAAGTTGAAGGAGTCAGCCAGGTTCATGCTGTCATCATGGCGATACTCCACGCTGCCCGCCTTCAGATCATGCTGAGTGAAACAATCCACCTTCAAATTGAATTGAATTGAATTGAATTAATTGAATTATACTGAACCGGTCCGCCTTTGAATTGAATTGAACTTTTGATGCCCTAGGTAAAATTAAATGACACAGGCTTACATAGAACAACATCACAACACACAACATGCACATTACAAACAATACAGTGCTGGTGCTATTTAAATTATTTTACCTTAACGTTGTTTTGGAACAGATGCCCGTGTCTCGGCGGGAGGAAGACCTGGTAGAGCACCTCCTCATCGTCTCGGACATCCTGGTTGGTAAAGACACTGAAGTTGGCCGAACTCAAGATGGCCGCATGGCCTTTCTGGACCAGCAGGCCTGTGCTGTTCTCCACCTGGATGTATGGGTCCTGGGCAATGACCTCCAATAGTGTGGATGTGTAGTGTTTCCCGTCTGACACGAACAGGACGAAGCGTCCGAAGCTGACCTATGGAGTGAAATCTTTAATATTCGTAACTGTAACAAAGCAATAATCAAAACTGTGTGTGTCTTTGTGTGTAATAAAAGTTACTGATTTCACTCCATACTGACCCCCCTGTGGATGAACAGCACCCTGCGATGCTGCAGGTCCTCCTGGCTGAACTGGTACAGCTTGTGGCCTGTGTCGTTCACTAGGACCAGGTCGCCCATGGGGATGCCCCGTCTAGTGTAGACCAGCTGACTGTCATCAAAGTCAGAGTCAGCGTCGTGGTAGCGCAGGTCATCTAATGTCAGCAGCCTCTGCCCGCCCCTGGCCACGTGGAAAACTTTATCGACAACGCGGACCGGTTTCTCGTCGTTGACAAGGGCAATCGAGATGTTGAAGATGTCGTCAATGGTGTGAGTGTTTTCTTTTTTTGAGTGTGTGCGTTTGTGATTGTGTCCTTTGGTGTGTTTGGCGACGGTGGTGTGGAACATGAACGCGTCTTCCGTGGTTTCACTGCCATCGTGCATGTACATAATGCGCTCCTCTAAGATGTCCTGATTGGTGAAAGCTGTGATGTTATCGTTAATAGACGTAGAATTAGAGAGATTGATCCTCTTTAGCTTGCCATGTTTAGGACTGCGGGTGAGGGTATAAAGTACTGCTTTGGCCCCGACTGTTTCAGCAAACAGTAAATCCTTGGTGATTACCTTGCTTTCTCCTTCCAGGATGGACAGTCCTTTGTTTGTTGGGATCAGGCTATGAACATCCGCCTTGATGTTTATTCTGAAGTCGTAACCCCCTGAGTGTGCGTGTTTGGAGAACACCTGGAAACCAAACGAGTCCCTCGTGGCCTCATGAGGCCTACCTGTAACCTCATATTTCACCATGTGGTCAGATATATTCTTCTGGCTAAATGTTGAGTTTTTCATTAAGACTTTGTCTTTGAACACGAGCTGTCCTTTATTTGGCAGGGATAGCATTCTGAAGTGAAGTTCACTGTCATGGAGCTTCACACCCTTGGAGACAACACGGAGCTCCTCATTGCTAAGGACTACTTTCCTCACACCGCTGACCTCCATCTTACTCCTGGTGACCTTGAAGTGGATCCACCGCACCGTGATGTGGAAAACCAGTTCATCAGTCGCTGCTGAGCCCACACTGACCCTGCATTTGAACTGATCTGTGACGTTGCTTGTCCTGATCTCCTGGAAGGTGTTGAGGTACCTGAATAGAATCGAAAATAAAACATTTATTGTCCATTAAATTATTTCATAAAATTGAAATATTTCCTTCAACTCGTGGTGTTAAAACAATGGACAATTGCACACAAACATAGATCAAACAACACAGCTAGGTACCTGATGCGCTCTTTCTCCAGAAGCTTCTGTGAGAAGACAGAGGTGGGCTTCCACTCTCCGCTGGAGTGCAGCCGCTGCAGTTCGCCATATCGTGGCGCCTCCACCACGTCATAGCGGATGTCGAAGCCCTGCTTCACAACGTTGACCTGCATAGCCAGGTGTTGGCTGCTGATGACGGCAGCCCCACCCTGATACACCTCCACCCCTGTGTTGTTGGCCACCTTGTGCTCAAGCTGGACAGCCATGATCCTTAGTACTACTGTGTTGCTCACCTTGTCTCCATCACTGACCCTCACAGCCATCCGGGAGTTCCTCACCAGCCCTCCGGTGTGCACGTAGCTGACCTTCCCCTCCTCCAGGTCGGGTTGGGAGAAGGTGGTGATGGCCGTCCCTGGGTGGTCCTGGTTCTCCAGTAACCCTGCTTCAGCATTATTGTTTCCCAGGATGGTGAAAACTAGGTCTGTGGAGTTGCTGTCCAGGTCGGTGGCTCTGAGAACATCCGTGTTTAGGTGGCGTTTGGAGTTCTCCAGGAGGATGAAGAGACTTCCCTCAGGGAGGCTGAGCTCGGGAGCGTCATTGACGGGAGTGACGCTGATGTTGAAGCGGTGTAGTTTGTTTCCCTTGAGGTAAAAGGGGATCTCCTTCTTGCTGTTGGTAAAGACAGAGAACATGAAGAAGTCTTGAGGGTCTTCTGAGCCTCCATGGACGTAGATCACTCTACCGTGCCACAGGTCCAGCATGCTGAAGGTCCAATCCTCGTCTTGGTCTGAATGATCCACATCAAGTCTCAGCTGGCCGTGCACCGGCTGCTCCTCAATACGGAACATAATCTGAGACTGACGGATTCCAAGCTTCCGGAACTCTAGATTCACCTTGATGTGCTTAGATTCTAACGGAGCCCTCCCACCTTCTGGAACCACTAAGTCTTTCAGAACCAGAAAGTTCTGACCCAGCTTCTTCCTGTTCCTGTCTGATCCATGATGGTGGACTAATGGCAAGGTGACAGAGAGGACAGCCGTTGGGCTCACAGTGGTGATCGCTTCTGGAAGCTTCTCTAACTCACAGCCGACAGATATGTCTTTGGTGACTACAGCGTGGGGAAGCCCCATCCTCTGCGCATTGACCCGGATGTCTCTCAGACAGCCTTTGAAGGATCCTCCACTGGCCAGTCGCTTCCCATTGAAAGACAGCAGGCCGGCCTTCCTGGCTTCTAAACTTGATCTGTCATCAACACCACCCATGTAGAGAGGGCCTCGGAGCTGCAGGGCCTTGGAATGAGCCTCCAGGCTGTGGTTGACTATCTCCTCACCTAGAAAGATACAATTCATTGATATCACTTTATTTGAATAGTCCCAAATAGATGCTTTGTAGATGTTCAGTAGATGTTCAACGAACTGTCAACAACATTCATCCTACTGTAACTATTCACTAACCCTAACTCTAGCCCTAATTTGACAATTCAAAAATAAAATTCCAGTCACACAAGTGGATACACTGAATTGAAAATCAACAACGACAACACAAAATAAAGGTTTACTACTTGTTTCCATCGTGGTCAGTGCAGGTCGTCCTTACCTACAGTCAGCTGCAGGCTGTGAGGAAGCAGGTGTAGTTTCACCCGGTGCCATTTCTGGTTGTTGACATACGTGAGGGAGTGCAGCATCGTCCTAGTCCCGCCGTTACCAACGACAACCACCAAACTCCCCTCTTGGATCTCCATGGCGATAAAGTCTCCCTGGTGGGCAGAGCTGTACAGGACGATCCCCTCTTCGGAGGAGGTATGTACCTCACACTCCAACACCCCCTCCTGAGGGACGTCCCACGGGGGCAGGGACATGTACGCCCTGGAACTGAAGAAGCTAATTGGGTCGTCTTCGCCTGCAGAGAACTGAGAACTGCAGCCCAGAGACACCTCATGGACACTCTTATAGCCTGAGTAGGGCCGCAGGCTGGAGAGCAAGTTGTGCTGGTTGAAGAGCACCTCATCCACACAGCCGCGGAAGCCTAGGAGGAGGAGGAAGAGGAGGAGGAGCAGGAGGAAGAGAAGAATAATAAGAATATTTTATAGTCATTGATTCTAATTTCCAGATGACTTAAATGACTTTTTTTTGGTTCTAACCCAACCTGTGGCATCATCACTATGGAGGTAGGGTTTGTCCAGGCCAACCGTCCCACCAACGAACAACCCATCGTGGACACTAAGGTCCAGGTCGGGCCCGGGTATCCGGACGCTGGTGTAGGAGTGGCGGTCCACCGTCAGAGTGACGTTGTGCTGGTCGTGTTGGAGCTCCACAGAGTGCCAGGCCAAGTCGTTCAGATGGACCCCCTTCTCAGAGCGGAGGGTACGCTCACCTGATCCCAACTCCAACTGAACCTGCGAGAAAGAAGGAATGACATAACGAGTGATAAAGGAGAAATGAAGGTATCAATAACCGTTTTTGAATTAAACAATTACCAAAGACTAATTGGTGGTTATTTTGTAAGATGACATAGCAGATGTGTTACAAAAATCATCAAACGACAGAAGGGTTCAGGAAAGTGGCACATCAAGGTTGTTCTCAGCATATTTCTGTCTGATATACCCTAAGTAGAGCAGTGGCGGTCAGTGCCGTTTATGATGAGGGAGGACGATTGTTTTTTCATGAGCATGGCCTTATTTCTATTACAGCATGTTGGATGACTGTCATTCATATTCCATTCACCCAGTTCAATGTAACATCGATAGGTTTAGGCGACTACACTCTAATTTTCCCCTCGTCAACATAGCTAATAGTAATAGAACTAATGCGTTAGTAAACCCGCTACACTGGAGGGCCCCGGTGGTAATAAATTAATCAAACCAAAAGCTTACCTTGACTTGGAAGAGTTCCAGTGTTGTGTTGGATAGTCATAGCCAGCTAGCTAACATAGCATCCCTCTGTTTGAGCCTGGTGTTTGAGTAACTAAACTAGCAAGCTGCATTTGCTAGCTAAGTAAGTGAAAGTGAAAAAGAATAACGAAATCTCTCTCTTTCTCTTGCTTCTCCTTCATTTTTGAAGAAATTAATTTGTTGAAAACTGTTCAACTATTGTCTTTCTCACTCTTTGAGTCAACTACTCACCACATTTTATGCACTGCAGTGCTAGCTAGCTGTATCTTAAGCTTTCGGTACTAGATTAATTATCTGATCCTTTGATTGGGTGGACAACATGTCAGTTCATGCTGCAAGAGCTCTGATAGGTTGGAGGACGTCCTCCGGAAGTTGTCATAATTACTGTGTAAGTCTATGGAAGGGAGGGAGAACCAAGAGCCTCCTAGGTTTTGTATTGAAGTCAATGTACCAAGAATCTAGCTGTCCTCCGGCTACACCATGGTGCTACCCTACAGAGTGCTGTTGAGGCTACTGTAGACCTTCATTGCAAAACAGTGTGTTTTAATCAATTATTTGGTGACATGTGAATATATTTAGTATAGTTTTTCAATGTTTTACCATTTTTATTTTTATGAAATTCACTGAGGAGGATGGTCCTCCCCTTCCTCCTCTGAGGAGCCTCCACTGAAGTAGGGGTAATCACTAGCAGAATACCAGGTTGAAAAGACAGACATATATTCCACCACATTTACAGTGAAACGTGAAGCCACTCATCAACTACATGCTGCAGCACATACTAACATTTAACAGACTGTGGTCTCTTCCAGCAAGATTCATGAATGAACTTGTCAGGGACTGTGGTAAATCCTTAAATTCACTGTGGTCTTTTTTTCTATGAGCGCAATAGGAGCATAACCTTTGGCCATTCTGAGGATAATAACGGTCTATATACACTATATACAACAAGTATGTGGACACCTGCTCGTCAAACATCTCATTCCAAAGTCATGGGCATTAACATGGAGTTGGTCCCCCCTTTGCTGCTATAAAAGCCTCCATTCTTCTGGGAAGGCTTTTCACTAGATGTTGGAACATTGCTGCGGGGACTTGCTTCCATTCAGCCACAAGAGCATTAGTGAGGTCGAGCACTGATGTTGGGCGATTAGGCCTGACTCGCAGTCTGCACACCAATTCATCCCAAAGGTGTTCGATGGGATTGAGGTCAGGGCTATGTGCAGGCCAGTCAAGTTCTTCCACACCAATCCCTTCACTGGAACTAAGGGGCCTAGCCCGAACCATGAAAAAGAGCCCCAGATCATTATTCCTCCTCCACCAAACTTTACAGTTGGCACCATGCATTCGGGCAGGTAGTGTTCTCCTGGCATCCGCCAAACCCAGATTTGTCTGTCGGACTACCAGATGGTGAAGTGTGATTCATCACTCTAGATAACGCGTTTCCACTGTTCCAGAGTCCAATGGCGGCGAGCTTTACACCACTCCAGCCGACGCTTGGCATTGGGCATGGTGAACTTTGGCTTGTGTGCGGCTGCTCGGCCATGGAAACCCATTTCATGAAGCTCCCGACGAACAGTTCTTATGCTGACGTTGCTTCCAGAGGCAGTTTGGAACTTGTTGGTGAGTGTTGTAACCGAGGACAGACGATTTTAAGCACAACGCACTTCAGCACTCGGTGGTCCCGTTCTGTGAGCTTGTGTGGCCTACCACTTCGCGGCTGAGCCGTTGTTGCTCCTAGACGTTTTCACTTCACAATAACAGCACTTACAGTTGAGCGGGGAAGCTCTAGCAGGGCAGAAATTTGACAAACTGACTTGATGGAAAGGTGGCATCCAATGGCAGTGCCACGTTGAAAGTCACTGAGCTCTTCAGTGAGGCCATTCTACTCCCAATGTTTGTCTATGGAGATTGCATGGCTGTGTGCTCGTTTTTATGCACCTGTCAACAACGGGTGTGGCTGAAATAGCCGAATCCACTAATTTGAAGGGGTGTTCACAATCTGTAGTCTAGAGAAAATGATTGTTGTGGCTTGTCTGCGCTCCAAAGTAGTAGTGCTAAGAGCAGTACTGAGTTATACATGATCACAGTGGTCAGAACTGATTTTGTTGGAGACGTCTCTACAGTGACAGTATTTCCTGATCTCTTTAGTATGTACAGTCTGGACAATAGGTACACTCTTAGAAAGCAGGGTTCCAAAAGGGTTCTTCAGCTGTCCCCTTTTAAGTTCCAGTTAGAACCCTTTTGGGGAAAGGGATACCTAGTCAGTTGCACAACTGAATGCATTCAACCAAAATGTGTCTTCCGCATTTAACCCAACCCCTCTGAATCAGAGAGGTGCAGGGGGCTGCCTTAATCGACGTCATCGGCGCCCAGGGAGCAGTTGTTGTTGGGGTTTAACTGCCTTGCTCAAGGGCAGAATGGCAGACGCTCTTAACCGCTAGGCTACTTGTAGAACCCTCTGTGGAAAGGGTTCTACATGGAACCCAAAAGGGTTCTACCTGGAACCGTTTAGGTTTTTTATGATTTTCTAAGAGTGTAGTGTGTAGGGTGTAGTGTGTAGCATGTAGTGTGAGCATTGCTCTGAGTCTATGAAGTAATATGCAATCTCTGAGCTATGGCATGTCTGTTTGTCTGTAAGGTGTGTTCTCACCTGCAATCTCTGAGCTATGGCATGTTTGTTTGTCTGTAAGGTGTGTTCTCACCTGCAATCTCTGAGCTATGGCATGTCTGTTTGTCTGTAAGGTGTGTTCTCACCTGCAATCTCTGAGCTATGGCATGTATGTTTGTCTGTAAGGTGTGTTCTCACCTGCAATCTCTGAGCTATGGCATGTCTGTTTGTCTGTAAGGTGTGTTCTCACCTGCAATCTCTGAGCTTAGGCATGTTTGTTTGTCTGTAAGGTGTGTTCTCACCTGCAATCTCTGAGCTATGGCATGTTTGTTTGTCTGTAAGGTGTGTTCTCACCTGCAATCTCTGAGCTATGGCATGTCTGTTTGTCTGTAAGGTGTGTTCTCACCTGCAATCTCTGAGCTATGGCATGTTTGTTTGTCTGTAAGGTGTGTTCTCACCTGCAATCTCTGAGCTATGGCATGTTTGTTTGTCTGTAAGGTGTGTTCTCACCTGCAATCTCTGAGCTACGGCATGTTTGTTTGTCTGTAAGGTGTGTTCTCACCTGCAATCTCTGAGCTATGGCATGTTTGTTTGTCTGTAAGGTGTGTTCTCACATGCAATCTCTGAGCTATGGCATGTCTGTTTGTCTGTAAGGTGTGTTCTCACCTGCAATCTCTGAGCTATGGCATGTCTGTTTGTCTGTAAGGTGTGTTCTCACCTGCAGGCGACCAGAGTGCAGCTCTAGCAGGAGGAAGTCTGTCTCCCCGGCAGCCAGGAAAAGGAGTCCGCTGTGACTTGAGGTGCGGAAGCGCACATGGAGCGACGTTCGGCTGGATAACTCCACAGTCTTCAGCTGCACATATCCATCCCCGTAAAATGAGGCTGTGTAGAGCGGTTGAGAAACAGCAGATTTAACAATTATTCTATATGATGTCATCAGATTTAGGAATAATGACATTTGGTTCGGCTATGCGCTAATCATGTCACGACATGGCCTGTTGCTGTATTCTGCAGGGTTTATTTCCATACACTGCAGAGAAGTTCTGTATGAGCAGTTTGTATCATAGTTGGTTGCACCCCACCCATTCTATTCTAGTAGTGCCAAAGGGCAGCCTATTTTTCATGCTCCAAAACAACGCATTAGTTCTAATCTTCCTCGCTACTTTTCTTTTTAGAGAACCCAACAACAAGTCATGTAGATATTCAGCATTAGTTAACTTGCATAAAACACCATAGTAACTTTGTCTCTGTTGGTTTTTCCCCTTTGTTAAAGCGCATGTGAATGCTAACAACAATCATTTAGCCTATTGAAGCAGCAAAATTAGGTCTTCTCTTTGGCAGCATCCTATTTAACTTATTGATTTCCCTGCTACAGGGACTAAGTGCTCGTTATTATTGCATAGTGTCTGTGACCTTTACTGCCTGAATTCTGTGACCTTTACTGCCTGTATCTGAATTCAATTAATGTAAGCTCTCATGCCCTGAGTGTTGTTCTAACTGGAAAACTAGGCAGCTTGTGCTGCTTGCGGGACGTCATTCAGATTCAGAATATCTGGAGCAGTGGCCCAATTGATGGAAGAACTGAAATACTCATGGAAGGAACGTGAGAGTGTGTAGAGAATATTTGTGAATGACCTATGATTCCCAGTCCCCGCAGAGTAAAAGGGTCAGGTTAGGCCAGACTAATGGTGCCAGTTAATATTTATCTGATGAGTCCACACTGAATAGTATGAGGAGAAAAACACAAGGTGCCGCTGACCTAAAACATGTAGTCTACTACATCAGGACTGCTGTTTTTTCAATAGTTAGTTACGTCATTGGCAGAATCACAGTTGATATCTCACAAAGCAACCCATTATCATTGAATAGACTAGGCCTATTTGGGGAAACACTATATCGGCCAGTTCCAATTCACTGACACTATAAACCTACATCTGGTCAGCTATGGAAAAAGCATCAGATGGTTAGAACCATAGCGATACAATGTAATAATATTATATTTAATTATGTGGTTATAACAATGTAATAACACTGTAATGCAAGTTTTTATATATATATATATATATATATATATATATATATATATATATATATATATATATATATATATATATATATATAGGTAAATAGCTATAGTAAAAATACATTGCATACTTGCAGGAGACTTCTGCTCCAAATACATAATGGCAGGCTATGTTTTCGTGTCACTGGCAGTGTCCTCCTACGAGGTCTTATCGCGTTTATAGATCCTTAATTAATTGGATTAATATTAATCTGCCTGCCTGCTGTAATACTGCCCCACATTTAATTATAAATCTGCCACCTTCTTCTGTTCTTATAACGACTACATAACAATAATACTTCGTGCAACGTATTATTACAATCGAACAAATGAATGTGATTTTATCTAAACGTCAAAATCCCTGAATGCAAGGAATCATCTGCAAAAAACAAAAATCACATATACAGAAGACTAGTTGGCCTAGATTGCAAAATACATATGAGTCAACAGTTAAATAGATAGATGCAAATTATATTATCATACCATAATGTATAATTGTCATGAAAAATTCAAGAGGAAGTTTTTATATGGACAAAGAATTCCACAGGTTTTCTGTACGTTACCTCCCAATACTTGTCCGCTGGAGAGAAACAGAAGAAGAACAAGAAGCTCGATGAGAAACAACTTGTTGAATAACATTAGGAAGGTCCCCATAGTTTATTTTTTCATTACTTTCCGTTAAGAGAGAAATCTGGATCCTTCATAAATTCCATAGTTTTTACTGGCGGTACAGCCATTCACCCACCTCATTCACAACTTTGAGTGTAAAATCCAGTGTGCAGGGTCGTCCTTAATTACCCAGCCACAAAGTCACAAACCCCGCCTATTTCTTCAATGTATCTTCTTAAAATGTGATTTTAAACCTAACCTTAACCCTAACTTTAACCACACTGCTAACCTTATGCCTAAACCTAACTTTAAATTAAGACCAAAAAAGCTAATTTGTTTTCAAGAATTTTTACGATATATACAGTTTTGACTTTGTGGCTGTGGTAACTAGTGTAAACCAGCGTGCAGTGTACCTGTGCGTCCATCACGCCATCATGCAAAACAACGTCAGAGGGACTGGAACTATAGCCCCGCCCTGTCAGTTCACCTATTGGCAAGTGTAGGCCTGCAGCCATGATAAATCGACATTATTTTATCCAAATAAATCTTATTTTATCCAAATACAATTTTTCTTAGAAAACAAATTTGAAAATATTTACACTTGAAACACATTGTGCATTTACATTTACATTTACATTTTAGTCATTTAGCAGACGCTCTTATCCAGAGCGACTTACAGTTAGTGAGTGCATACATTTTCATACATATTACATGAGTTGACTTATTAATTTCTGCTTTGTAATGCAAGGCTCCCTTGGTCTCAATGGGACTCTCCCCTGCTTAAATAAAGATTAAATAAATAAAATAGTCCATTAATAGTATATAATATACTGTACATTGTACAATACGTTTCTTTGGCCTCTCTCAGACGAGTATTATTATAGTAAAAAGCAGTACTCTACTATACACTGAATGTACAAAATATTAGGAACACCTGCTCTTTCCATGACAGACTGACCAGGTGAATCCAGGTGAAAGCTATGATCCCTTATTGATGTCACCTGTTAAATCCACTTCAATCAGTGTAGATGAAAGGGAGGAGACAGGTTAAAGAAGGATTTTAAAGCCTTGAGACGATTGAGACATGGATTGTGTATGTTTGCCATTCAGAGGGTGAATGGGAAAGACAAAAGATTTAAGTGCCTTTGAACGGGGTATGGTAGTAGGTGCCAGGCGCACCGGTTTGAATGTTTAAAGAACTGCAACGCTGCTGGCTTTTTCATGCTCAACAGTTTCCCATGTATATCAAGAATGGTCCACCACCCAAAGGATATCCAGCCAACTTGACACAACTGTGGGAAGCATTGGAGCCAACATGGGCTAGAAGGTGTTCTTAATGTTTGTACACTCTGTGTAGTTCAAGGAACATTGTCAAAACTCTGACATTTCCACTCATGGCCATCAGAGAGTGCTATTCAATCACTAACTCCATGGCTATGCATGGTCATAAGGGAGACATTCTGTACAGTACTGTACATCCTAATTCAATCATACACAATTTTGGATAAGAAGTTGGTTCTGTAATATGCGATATCTAGTCATCTTCAGCAGTGAGGAACACTTTGGATTTTAAAATGACAGCAAGTGTTTGATATTTTGAAAATCCTTCAGAGAAATACTGACATTTTATTTAGACGTGCACTATTAGTAATGATTACTGAATAAGATTTCACACTTGTGCCAAGCCTTTAAAGATCTGCAAAGCAACAATAGATATTTGAAGAAAATATACATCCTTTGTTAATCCCATATGATCTCTTATAGATATTTAGATATGCATGTTTATATCATAATCTGCTTATGAAACAGAGTGGCATTTTAATTTGTCGTGACCCAAAGTAGCCTGGCTGGCACATTTCAAAACAAGCATCAGAGAGCGAGAGAGAACAGCAAAAACAGGTCACTGCACAGGAGTTTAGACCAGCGCCACCGTTGACTGATTCAGTTAACATGAATGTATGATTGTTCAAACTGAGCACAGCAACACTGGCCTCAGCTGTATCCATTGATAGAGAGAGAGCCCAGTGTCTGACAGTTACAGACCATGTGGCCATTCCACGGTCACTACGGTATAAGTTATTTTGCTGTGGCACGAGAGAGGGAACCGTTGGTAAAGGTGAAAATAAACATGGAGAGTTATGCAGTTATGTAATTTGACTGGTTGAGAGCTGTACTGTAACAGCAAGAAATAAAGGATTTCCATTGAAATAGATAAAGATATACTGTATTGAGATGGATGTAGTCAAGTGCCTTTATGAAAAGTTAACCTACTCAATGACCTGAACTAAACTCTGATACACCGCAATAGCGCTATTCGTGGGTGTGTGATGGGATGAATGATAGTTCATAATCTAACAACCGGGACTAAAGCCTCTCCAGATCGATGCAATACAAATGTCCATGTCAATATGGGTTGTATACAGTATGAGGGCCTAGCAGAGACTATTTGTGGCTGATCGCGTTGGCTAGCGGATTGTTGCATAAGACACCCCTGGCTGCTCTGCTGAGCTAAGGCCAGAGATAAGTGCTATGTACCACAGAATCAGTCAGTCTGGGGGTTTTCCACATGCAGACAGGCCGCATTCTAAAGATACCACAAATAATGTGTGATGGGATGACAGGCCTTTAAACATGTAGGATTACAAAACTCTGGAGGAGCAAGGGAAAACAAAGATATTTAACACAGATCTAAGTTCTGTCTATATCGACCGTCGGGACTGTACTTTGTTGCAATGCCATGCTTGAGTTCTTGTAATGCTTGAGTTCTTGTAATGCTCGAGGTCTTCTATTTAAATTGTTTAAGATGACCAATCTATTTGTCTGTACTTTATGGAATGCTTGAGGTCTTATAACGTAAGAGCTTCCTGTAGAGATTTGGGAAATCTCTCAATGGTAACAGCGAGCCGAGAAGCCCCACTTGAAGATTCCAGATTCCGGGTGCTCAGTGGAATTATTTTGACATTTGATCTCCCCCTCTCTCGTCTCCCCTCCTCCCTTCATGCTGTGTGATGCTGAGACCAGCTGACACCTTTTATAGAGGGCGACTAGAGGTCTCCAGTGGTTAGCTCTCTCTAGTCTAACTAACTTAAATTGTGTTTGTTATGGGTCTCAGTCACAACCGCTTTGTCTTGACCACACTAGAATGAAGAGTTAGGAGGTGGAAGGGGGTGGAGAGGAGGGTGCTGCTGTGAGCCGATGAGCCAAGCTGATTTTCTCCTGGCTGTGTTTTGTCTCACTAGTCCAGATCACTCAAATTCATGCCGCTGTTTAAAGCCCTGCCTGCCAGA